GCATCATTTCTTGTAATAGTCAGCCATTGACAATGCTACGACCATACTTGTTCAGTGACTATTTTCATCAAAAATCAATAGTGACCAAACCACATTGGTTACGCTATTAAGACAACACGAATTGGAATCATTGTCTTGTTTTTCATTTGCCAATAGATCGTATGTTTCACAATAGCTAAGGTTCCACTATCTTTGCAATAGTGAGAAAGTTACAGCAAGTTTTGTTTCTCATCATCCAGAAAATAGGGGGGGGGGTGCTTAATTAAGTTCCAGGTGTATATATATATATATATATACGCACATAATGTCCAAAATAGTACAGGTGTTCAGTCATAAATATTACATAGATAAATAAAAACAGAATGCCTTTTTCTCCAACATGTTTCGTTCTTTACTCTTCAGGGGATTGTATTTATAGTGAGTCTAAACTTGTGATGGGTAGTATATGTTCTCTGCTGCTTTACACGGTTTTAAAACACGAATCCAGTAAAATCACTGTCGGGCTGTCATTTCCCGGAATCGACTTAACAGCTGATCAGTTGAGTCATATCAGCAGATATATCAGATGTCTTGCCCTTATCGTTATTCATTGGGCGCTGTACTTATCTCAGTGTGTATTCTAAACCGACTGAAAACCGCGTATTCATTCACTTGAAACAAGCATTCCTGGGATAGCTGATAGGTTAACATTTTCTTTCACAACTACAAAGTCACCCATTCTACGTCGGTGTAGGGTTGGTTAGGTCCCGTAAGTTCGACCTTTGGATGGGTGTAAAAACAAACTGGTCGGTTTGGAGGTGTATGTCGTTTAGGTCGACTTGTGCCAGACAATGGGCAGTCAATGTTTTTACAACGGCACAGTTAATGCTAAAATGTTCACCGCAAAATAACTGAACAAGGACGCTGTAAAATGTCATTCTTAGTTGTGCATTCATTGGGGCAGTAATTTCTATTCGTTACATAATAAATAACACATATAAATAAAGTTGAGAGATGTTATATTCTTCTTTGCTTTTGTTGTTCAGTAATATTTTAAGAAGATGTGTATGCCCTTGTCATAACACGTCCCTTTTCTTTCCACAAAAGGCATGCAGCCTTTTACAAGATTATTTGATGCATTTTACCTTTTAACCGCCCTCTGTACCAACATAGTTCTTACTTCTCCAACAATGTTCGATGCCAGTTGATCTTGTTACTTACAGACGGGCGGTTGGTGTTTTCTATTTGATATTGCATGCCAATGCTTAAGGAAAATCCTACCATTTCAAAATGCTATTTTCATCTCTCAGCTTGTACAATCTGTCCTTTTCAATTTACATAATCAATTTACTATTATGTTGCGGAGATATCCACTCAAATCCTGGGCCAATATGTGGAGATCTGAAAATTGGTAATCAAACTTCAAGCAACAGAATTAATCAGCCTATTCTTGACTCTGTTCATAAATACATACTCTTTCAAATAGATTCAAATTATTCTAAACTCTTATGTATGCAATTACCATGAACCATTTAATGTATTTTTGTAGACTTTTTTGCTATAGTATTCATTTCATGCCTTTGTGGAAATAACTGTTTCTGTACTTTGGTTGAAACTAATTACTGATTATTGATTGTATTGTGTTATATTTGATGGAGCGGCACTTACATAGCCGTAGGCTTGTTGTGTCAATCCATATTCATGTTATGTTTAAATTTCATGAATATAATATGTGCATATAAATTATATCGTTCACTGTTGAGACTCTTGATCTGCAGTCGTTCCCCTTTTCCTCTTGTTCACGATGTACATATGACCATTTACACATAGGTATTTTCCACCACGAGACGCAGGAAGAAACTTGTAGTCTAGTTGTACATTTGCCATAAGTGAAGTTGTAGAAATGACGATGAAAACTGTTATTTCCAACATTCTTATAGCTTGCACTCAACATAATCAAAGTCATTGAGTGAGATTCACTCATCCCCTGGTACACATGCCATATTTCGTTTCCTGAGTGAACACATTTCACATTTTGTATAGAATGCCAGTGTCTTAATCCCTTATACAACACTGTTGTCACAACATCAGACATCAAAGGATTTTCACCTCGACCCAAAGGTCGAACTTATGGGACTACCCCGTAGGGTTGTACTGGACATGACAGTCTGATATTATCAGGGCACGACACACCTTGTAACAAATAATGGCCCCTACCCATTTCCTACCCGACACAAAACTTGTGGCCTTGGTCAAGTCAGTGACTTAGGTATTTTGGGCACACAATCGTTTTCAAAGCTCTGGACCCACTTCTGCTTAGGATTCACCCACAAATCGTATAGCGCGTTTATTCCCAGATGGTGTATTTTGCCTCTTTACATTCTGGGGTGTGAGGGTCCTTCACTACATGTACGATGTATTACATCATCAATCTACTTAGATGAGTTAATAATGTCTTGAACGAATGGAGATAAACGAGGATGTGAGCTGGAGTTACATGTAAATCAAAGCTATATCACTTGTCTGTCCTTTTGAGAATAACATTAAATTGGAGCCCTACACATGTCTAGAATGATTTTATAAGTGTAGATTGCATCAGTTCCTGGAAATTTAATTAAGAAATTAAGGATTCTTCAGGGCTCCGTTTGGATTTCTTATGTAGATAAATATATTTTCATATATATATTCAAGATAACTTTACTTCTGAGACTAAATGTCAGACTACTGTATACGGCAGCTTACATAAGTGACAAATGTCTTGTTAAATACACTGTCTCTACATGAATTATAACAGTGTGTGTGCCTTATCAATCAATGACGTTCATTATAAACTCTGTCAAAAAAAGAAACGCAACCCCTGTCCTCAGATATGAAAAATTCGTTTGAATGAAGTTATTGCTTCCAAACTAAATGTTATTCGAATGTATTGAAATTATACACGTAATTAATGAAGATTACCATCCAAACAACTGCATTTGTACGCATAAGTGTATTTTATTGCTTATTCCGTCACAACGCATGAAATGACCCTCATGGTGACTTCGCACAAAAAAAACACATGCAAATCATGAAAATGGCAGTTAATGTAGGGGTGTATAAAAGCCCATGTGCTTTCGTATTATATTCATTCATTTGTCGCATGAAAAGCTGTGTGAAAAATGCCACGATTGAGTGCTGCCGACCGAAATATCGCCATTGGTCGTGTTCAAGCCGGAGAAAGTTTTGGAACTGTTGCACGGCACCTAAATGTTCACAAAACAACGATATCCCGACTTTGGAGCCGCGACAACAACTTCAATTTGACCAACGATCGCCCGAGAAGTGGAAGGCCAAGAATCACGACCCCCCCTTCAAGATCGGTACATCCGGGTCCATCACCTGCGTAATCGGCATGCCCTACCAACCGTGACTGCCACACAAATACCAGGTTTGAGGAGAGTGTCAGCTCAAACGATTAGGAACCGTCTGAAAGAAGCGGGTTTACGTGCCTGTAGACCAGTTGTTGGACCTGTACTACGCCCCCTACATCTCCGCCGACGACTCAGGTGGTGCAACAACGTAAGGATATGGACTTTACAAAACTGGAGGCGCATCTGGTTTTCTGATGAATCCCGTTTTCTTTTGCAACATCACGACGGAAGAAAACGTGTGTATAGGAGACGTCATGAACGTTTTGCGCCCATCTGCGTCCGACAGGGGACAGATTTGGCGGAGAAAGCGTTATGGTTTGGGGATCCATCTCATACAACCAGAAATCAGACTTGGTGATCGTTGAAGGAACCTGACAGCCCAACGTTACATCAACCACGTATTACAGCCTCACCTTCTCCCGATTATTGACCAACAGACACAGATTTTTCAACCAGACAACGCCCGGCCTCATACTGCACGTGCAACAATGAACTTTCTGCAGAATTCCAACGTCAATGTCTTGCCATAGCCCTCTAAATCACCAGACCTCAACCCTATTGAACACCTGTGGGATACTCTGGGTCGACGCGTACGTCAACGTCAGCCGCCGCCACAGACGCTGCAACAGCTCGGCGTTGCACTGCAGGAGGAGTGAGAGCCATTCCCAGGAAAGAATCCGGCGTCTTATCCGTTCTTGTCCAAGGAGATGCCGTGCAGTGATTGCAGCTCGTGGTGCTCATACGAGATACTGAGAAAGACGCCCCCCTGGTGACAAACTGGTGTCTGTGAGATGACTTTTGAAATGACAATTTTAAACATGCCCATCTTGGTTATTATTCTGCCAAATTTCAGACTTCTGTCTTAAATAATAAAAATGCTGTGTCGTCTTAAAACTTCAGATCAAAATCTCTAAAATACAGGGGTTGCGTTTCTTTTTTGACAGAGTTTAGTTACATGCATTCAATATCCCGGGGACCGTTTTTCAGAGCAACAAAACTAGATCAAAACACCAGTAGGAGAAAGTCTATTCGATTGTTAGCAGATGTTTCCTGTGTAACCTTCCCTTGGCGCACCAGCCAGGTCTACCGGGACTTTCACGCCAATACAATTCATAGATTAGCATTTCCATTGAGCACGACAATCGACAGATGCGATAAATAATATAGTAATTCGCCAGAAACCTGCGATCGTTGGTTCGAATCCCGGTTTGCCTTGATTTTATTTCTAAATTTGTAAACTTGAGTTCGTGAGTTTCACCAAAGTGCTAAACGCACTGGACCTTCGTCGCTTGGGTCCAAGGCGGCGCCAAACAACATTCATTCACCCATCATTTCAATACTTCTATGTAGGAGACATGCAGGTCATGGCTAAAATGTGCACAGTGTAGAGAATATTGAAGCTAAGAAGTATTAACCCACGAAAATGTCACTGAACTTCAAATGACTGCTAAATGTTATGAAAGGACACAGGATAATTAAGGCACGTCATAAGACATTTCTGTGTTCCATGTTGAAATGGTAGTGTGGTAGAGTTTGATATGTTGGAAATCTTGGATTTCTTTTCGAGGTTATTTCAGTATTAGACACACAAAACATAAAATAACCAATACAAATTCATCCTTCATTTATTCACTACTGATAGAACTGATCTAAATAATACTGTCAGTTTTCCTTTCTTATACCAGAGACCATATACCCATATTTATGGTCTCGACGTATATATATAGAAAACCAATGCAGTGTTCCACCAAAGATGATATGGTTTCATTAAGTCTCGCGATACCTTATCGTTTTCGACGTTTTGGTGTATTCTCCTTGACATCCATAGAGAAAACAACATGCATTAGCGATATCGTATCTGTTATGAGCTGTAAGATGATGTTGAGGAAGAAATACTTGATCCGTCAGCACGCGAGGAAAAACTGTTATACTTTAATGGCTCCGTTGAAGAAGTGCTACTCTCTGACGAGCTGGTAGTGTGTACCTCGCTGCTACTGGGATCCTCTGTTGTGACGGACTCGTAGACCCGGCTGGAGCCCCGACTGGAGCCCCGACTGGATGCAGATTCCACTTCCCGTCGTTGTTTCCTGGTCAGCCGTAGGCCTGTCTGTCTGTGTCGGTGCTTGACCACCATGAGCAGCAGGAACAACACCAGGTCAGCGGGATACGTCAGCGAGGTCACCGCGGCGTATATCCACGCGTCTACAACACAAACATCGCAGCGTTATTTTATGTCTGAATCCATAAAAATATTCATTGATATATTCAGTGCTGATTTGTTAGTTTACGTCGCTGCCAGCAATAATAGACATCGCAGCGGCTGTAAATAGTCAACTCTTCACAAGGCAAACCAGTGGTTGATAGTATTACACCCATGTGAAGTACGGTGAAACAAAGGTGCTTGTGTATAAAGCTTAGGTTGGCCTGAAGACAAATATAAGTACTGAGGACCGATTCCAAACAGTTACCGATAAGAATTCAGATAAATGAGCATTTTGAAAACTATACAGGACGTTATTATTCACATTATCTATATGTTGCTGAAAACATGAAACTGAACTTGTCATGAGTCATGTTGTAGCATAGGTTATATTTGGGATTACACTTTCGCACAGATTCTAGATGCCTGACTGAGAGTGTGGGTTCGAATCCCGAAAGGAAAAAATGAGAGTTCCCGGATCTGAGTAAAAGAAAGTAGAATCTGTACTTTATTGAGAAAATGGAATCCCAAACATAACGTATGTTACATTTGACCACTATCTAAATGGAACTGTCTTTTCATGAGTCAAGTTGTCTTGGTCTAGACTTAATGAATCCCCAGCTAACAGAAACTGTAAAATTGGATATAGGTAAGATATAATTTTGGAACATGTTACTTTTAAAATCACCTTATCTCAGTCCACATGATGATATGGTTTAGAAGAGAAACTTGGACGGTGTTTATATCTTACGGCAAGGTACAAAATCATATATTTTTGGGTGGGTTCCTATGAATCCTAAGACAAGGACATCTTTGACATCCGAACCGACGTGGGGTTTCGTGCATGGTAGGTCTGATTCAGTCTCAGAACCAATGAAGCCTGATGATAAGAACGGCATACCGTACCTGTATCGAGGTGCAAACGGGGAACCACTGAAAGATAAACACGTGAGATGAGAGAGTATCAGTTGTAAATCATTTTATTGTGATTCTACTCGAACACAACGTTGAGGCGGTGGGGTAGCCTAGTGGTTAAAGCGTTCGCTCGTCACGCCGAAGGCCAGGGTTCACTTCCACACATGAGTACAATGTGATATTGCTGGAATAAAAGCGGCTTAAAACCCAACACACTCACTGAACACCATGTTCTATTACAGAATATTTTGGTAAGATTGTTACGTGCAGACGTTGCAAATCATTGGATTATGACATTCACGTCACTATATATATTTAAGTTATGTGAAAATTGGGTTTAAAATATGACAGGACACACCCTGTAATCAGGGGTTCAACAATTTTTTTAATAGCCACTTGCCACAGGGTAAGTGACTTTAAGAAAGTAACTTGTCCTGGCTATTTTTCCACTTGCCTTGATTTTTATGACATAATCATGATGATGTAATTATGAAAGAATAAATCAACATGGTATTTGATGTTAATGTTACTGGACTATTTATCGAGAAGAGATAAATGGCAAAGAAGGATAACTCTACTTAATTATCATTGCAAAATGTAATAGCTACATTTTGAGCAGATATGAAATGAAGTTTATTTGCAGTTTGAAACCGTAAGCAGAGATTACCTAGTAGCCCACGGACAAGTAAGATACCAGTATTTGATTGCCCGAAATGAAAACTGACTTGTCCCGGGCGTCGGGCGATGGGATTTTTGAACCCTGACTGTAACCCCAACCCCTCCTTTACGTCATATCCTGTCAACAAGATATACAATGGAATATACATGTAACCTTATGATCTGACACTCCACGCATGACGCCACATGCTTCACTGACACGCCCCTTTGTCACCCTGTCTGTATGTATGGCGTGGAGGCAGTGTTCGTGCATCCCATGCAGATATTAGTTGAACTTAGGATACAAGAGTGAGTATGTTTCACGTCGCTTTTAGCAATATCACGCAGAGAATACCACAAATGTACCCAGATGAGCGAATGCTTTAACCACTAGGCTACCCCACCGCCCTATGATACAGACACACAAACAGTGTACCATATAAAGGTTGATAAGTTCTGAGGGTCAAATTTGTCAATATCCCAAAGAACTCTGCTCATTTGAATCATTTGGTTCAAATATTTCATTATATAACTCTACGAGATAAACAAAAGATTTCATATTTAAGAAGATCCTTCTAGATTACGTGTAGATTTTCTGAGGAAACTCTATCATTGTCAACAGTCTGTCTCACAGTCCCTGAACCGCAGTGGTTTTCCTTTGCGCCCACAGCTCTCTGCAATATTTAAGCTCTAAATAGAGCAAGTCTAGATTTTCTCAGGTGCAAGGTCTCTTATCTGCAAGAAAACTCACTTCAGGGTTCACACTGGGGCTCCTTTTTCAACTCAAAAGGAATTATTTGCTTCTATCAAAATTGTATACATTCAAAGACTAAGCGTTAGTCAACTAAGTAAGTGGACATATCCATTGTTTTGTCTGGCCTAACACGTGTCATTTAAACAGCAAATGCAACCAGTTGCAGCCATATAGCACGTGTTCCAAATTTATATTTTGAATTATTTTTTTTTATCCTACGATTCGACAGCTCCCATGCCTTGCATACAATTGTAAACCCGGACTTTGTATCTCTCATCAACTCGCAGTACTGTACGTATCATTAACGCTGACATTTGAACAAAGTAGGTCATACAACAGCGACCAGATCAAAGGCCCGCTTCACTAGTATAACATATAATAGCACACATAATTCTCGCATTGACTTAAATAGCCGATTTTGTCATTATTCCAAATAATTACATACCAGGTCACGTGGATACATAATATGTAATAAACTCTGTCAAAAAAGAAACGCAACCCCTGTATTTTAGAGATTTTGATCTGAAGTTTTAAGACGACACAGCATTTTTATTATTTAAGACAGAAGTCTGAAATTTGGCAGAATAATAACCAAGATGGGCATGTTTAAAATTGTCATTTCAAAAGTCATCTCACAGACACCAGTTTGTCACCAGGGGGGCGTCTTTCTCAGTATCTCGTATGAGCACCACGAGCTGCAATCACTGCACGGCATCTCCTTGGACAAGAACGGATAAGACGCCGGATTCTTTCCTGGGAATGGCTCTCCACTCCTCCTGCAGTGCAACGCCGAGCTGTTGCAGCGTCTGTGGCGGCGGCTGACGTTGACGTACGCGTCGACCCAGAGTATCCCACAGGTGTTCAATAGGGTTGAGGTCTGGTGATTTAGAGGGCTATGGCAAGACATTGACGTTGGAATTCTGCAGAAAGTTCATTGTTGCACGTGCAGTATGAGGCCGGGCGTTGTCTGGTTGAAAATCTGTGTCTGTTGGTCAATAATCGGGAGAAGGTGAGGCTGTAATATGTGGTTGATGTAACGTTGGGCTGTCAGGTTCCCTTCAACGATCACCAAGTCTGATTTCTGGTTGTATGAGATGGATCCCCAAACCATAACGCTTTCTCGCCAAATCTGTCCCCTGTCGGACGCAGATGGGCGCAAAACGTTCATGACGTCTCCTATACACACGTTTTCTTCCGTCGTGATGTTGCAAAAGAAAACGGGATTCATCAGAAAACCAGATGCGCCTCCAGTTTTGTAAAGTCCATATCCTTACGTTGTTGCACCACCTGAGTCGTCGGCGGAGATGTAGGGGGCGTAGTACAGGTCCAACAACTGGTCTACAGGCACGTAAACCCGCTTCTTTCAGACGGTTCCTAATCGTTTGAGCTGACACTCTCCTCAAACCTGGTATTTGTGTGGCAGTCACGGTTGGTAGGGCATGCCGATTACGCAGGTGATGGACCCGGATGTACCGATCTTGAAGGGGGGTCGTGATTCTTGGCCTTCCACTTCTCGGGCGATCGTTGGTCAAATTGAAGTTGTTGTAGCGGCTCCAAAGTCGGGATATCGTTGTTTTGTGAACATTTAGGTGCCGTGCAACAGTTCCAAAACTTTCTCCGGCTTGAACACGACCAATGGCGATATTTCGGTCGGCAGCACTCAATCGTGGCATTTTTCACACAGCTTTTCATGCGACAAATGAATGAATATAATACGAAAGCACATGGGCTTTTATACACCCCTACATTAACTGCCATTTTCATGATTTGCATGTGTTTTTTTTGTGCGAAGTCACCATGAGGGTCATTTCATGCGTTGTGACGGAATAAGCAATAAAATACACTTATGCGTACAAATGCAGTTGTTTGGATGGTAATCTTCATTAATTACGTGTATAATTTCAATACATTCGAATAACATTTAGTTTGGAAGCAATAACTTCATTCAAACGAATTTTTCATATCTGAGGACAGGGGTTGCGTTTCTTTTTTGACAGAGTTTATTTATGAATACATGAGTGACAAATATTTCATACATATAATATTTCATAACATAATATAACACACCAGCTGGCATTCATTTAATTCGTTCCAGTTTCATATTTGACAGTTCGCTGATTTTGTTCTCCCAGTCACATGAAATATTTGGTTTCGAAGAATATTATGGATTTATGGAAGAACAACTTTTGTCTAACAGACGGGAGCGGCGTAGACAACATCTAGTCTCTCTTTTACAGAAAAAATGGTTCATAAATAATAATCATGAAACAAAATGAAAAGGCACCCAGCCTGAAACTGGAAATCTAGACTTGCCACATATTCTAGACTTGCATGGGCTTTCATGGATATATTTGTTTCATGGCCTGTATGATAGACTAGGAGCGGTGTTTCCGTATAGGTTCTAAGGGGTGTCCTCCCATTTGTGAGAACTCCCATTTGTGAGACACATTAATTAATGGTTCAGTGCACACAGGTGGTGCTTCCCCATCCCTACAATGAAAGTGGGAACAGCCCTGTTGCTGAAGAGTACCCGCAGGAGGCATAGTTCATTAATGAGTTAATCAACACAGACTGACTGACTGAGTTTGGTTTTACGCCGCTTTTAGCAATATTCCAGCAATATCACGGCGGGGGACACCAGAAATGGGCTTCACTCATTGTACCCATGTGGGGATTCGAACCCGGGTCTTCGGCGTGACGAGCCAACGCTTTAACCACTAGACTACCCCACCGCCCCTAATCAACACAGAAGACATTGTTCGTTGAAGAGCATTGATTGTTTTCAATAGATACTGAAATACTGAAAAAGATTATCGTGAACTGGTGATATATTCTACTTGTTGAAGGCCTGCCATAATGGTGATCGGAAAGAGCAGTCAAAGGTTAATAAATACATTGGGATTAATTATAGTTACAACAGTTATTGCTAGATTTTTCAAACACGTAAATCTGAGTAGGTAAATTAATTTCTCTTTCAAATGATCACGAAGTTACCTACACAAAAGTGTTATTTTTTAAAGCCATTTATCTGAGTAGGTTAATTACTTTATCTTCTAGAGTTTCATTAAGTTACCTCCACATTCAGTTAAATAGCTAATCCATAATTAGCTGGGGTTAATCCATTCTATCAGATAGGGGAGTAAGGTGTGTTTTCTTTGGTAATTACCTACTCCACTGTCTCATAACTGGGAGTCTCACAAATGGGAGTTCTCACAAATGGGAGTAGACCGTTCTAACAAATAGGCTATCAATCAAGTAGAGTACAGAGTCTTTGAGTATAGTTTTACGCCACTTCGACTGGAACCTCTATAACCAACAGGGCGCCGGGTAGCCTAGTCAGTGAGTGAGTGAGTTCGGTTTTACGACGCTTTTAGCAATATTCCTGCAACATCATGGCAGGGGATACCAGAAATGGGCTTCTCACATTGTACCCATGTGGGGAATCGAACCCGGGTCTTCGCCGTGACGAGCTAACGCTTTACCCACTGGGCTACCCCACCGCCCTAGTGGTTAAAGCGTTCGTTCACGCTGAAACCCAGGTTCGATTGACATACGCATCGATCTGAGCAACTGGAGCACAAGCATCAACCAAGTCAGCGATCCTGATCACCCGATCGCCTCTTACGACAAGCATGGGCTGCTGAAGATAATTTCCAACCCGAATGTTCCCGGAAATGTCAACATCACTGTTTTCAAGAACACAATGTATCCATTATTAGGGAAGATATAATTGTATTTCATATATTACCCAGAGGTTAAAAGATAACATTTGTACATAGCTGTCATATTCATTGAGGAATATATAATGACTTTCAAGTGGGGGTTGCTGACCTGTCAACTTGATCTTGGCCTTGACCTTTCCATCTGCTAGACAGTGATACGTAGCGGTGTCGTGTGGAGCTATGGCGGAGATCTGTAGAACATTGTCGGCATGGAACAGAACCCTGTCATCACTGTTGTTGACATCAATTACTCGGGAGTTGTTCAGCCACACTACGGGCATATCCAAAGGGGCACTGCAATGGCAATGTTTGTTCCCCATGAGTGAGTGAGTGAAGGAATGGGACTCTTGTTTAATCTTCTACGGGACAATCACCAATATTACAGTAATAATACATGACATGGGCCTGTAACAACTCGCGTTTGGACCAGAGAAACCGGTGACTGGTCGTATGTTCTTATCCATAAGGGAAGCGGTGTATAGGGTATTTTAAATGATCTGCAATGCTCTTGAGAATTTCAGGGTTTTATAAATAGATAAATAACTCGGCTTTGTACTGGTCGCAATTTAAGTCATCCATATGCCAAAGTTGAATGGGATGTCGAATAATTCTTGAAAATGATGCAAATAACTGCAACTTCGTGAATGTTCATATTCATGATAACACACGCAAGCCTACTGGAAACGATGACCCAGAGAAACAATCCATGTCATCATGGCACATTGACCCACAATCAGCAATCCACGCCATCAGGGCACAATGACCCACTAATATAAATCTATGCCATTCTGTAATAGAGACATCAGGAGAATAGTTGATTTGGGAAGTAGAATGAACGAGTTCGGGGCAAGTTGATGTTGTAGCTGCAGAACCAACGATCCTTGGGGACCATTGGTCACCACATGCCCTTTCCGTAACCTGCATTCAGAAATATGTTCATTCAGTAAGTATAATGAACAAGACCCTATCGTTGATTCCAGTCCGGAATGACAAGATTCGTATGGTTTCTCATATTTAAACGATAATCGATATATATTTGTATCATACATTTGCAGTTGTGTCATTTTAGACACGTCTTTCCTGGACAGTTTGTCGTTACTTAGCCCTGGCCACTAATCCTATCGGACTTTAACAACCCTATTCTGCCTGTTCTAACTACTAGTAACTTGTCTGCCTGATTTCAATCAAACGTGACCTGACTCTCATGCCGAACACGACTGCATAATTGGCAATACAATCCATATATCGACTCAAGCTATATTTGTCTGACATCAATTCTCCCTGGTTCAGATTAAGATCGGGAATTAAGAAAGGTCTCGGTACCACTTACCCTTGACATGTTAGGTTCACTGAGGAGCCTTCGTCCATTGTCACTGTCCTTGACCTCTTCAGCTTGGCTTAAAATGAAACAGTCATCCATGATGAACATTGGACAATCTAGTATTAATATGACAACTTATATACCACTATGTATGTTGATTGGATGGTTGGATTGTGTATAGCGCCGCACATATAAATATTCCAGTTATGTGACGTCGGCCTGTAAATCGAGTACGTGACAAGCCAGGGGTCGATATTGTGAGCTACGATCAACGCCGTCGAGATACGGTGACACTCGATCGACCACGTCACTCAGTTCGACTAACCCATTGAATTTGGTCGCCTCATGACAAGCATGGGTAGGTGGGCACCAATTTTATCCCCAAACCCTCGGATCCAAATGACGCTCTCTACAAAATATCAAATACATGTTCAATCACTACACTGATAGTCAATATCATCCCATGCGTCATTGGGTCAGACATCGCACATTGTTTGCCAGGCCCAAGGTCTGCGTAACTATAATCAGCGTTCGAAATACCTGCCTGCCCGACCGCCCGGGAAAGGTCATTTTCAAGACGGACTGCCAGATTCTCAAATACACCTGCCTGACGGTCAGGTTAAAATTTAGACATGTACATATACAGATATTTTATGGGCAGGTAAGTTTTGGTCAGGGCTGGCAAGTTTACATCTAACCAGCATTGTGGTCTGGCTGAAATTTTTGTGAGTTTCATACCCTGCTATAATAGAACCTTTTTTTTCCCTCCTCAAATCTGGTTGAAAATATATAACAACAAGTTTAATTCTTGATGCGATGATTGGTGACGTATTTAAATTTCAATTCATTTGTATCAAATTCAGATTCAAAATAATGTGTAAAGAGACAACAATGTTGGTACATGGGGACAGACTGGAAAGTGTGTTCAACTGGCTGACTTTTGGTTTGGTTTTACACCGCTTTTAGCAATACTCCAGCAACATTACGGCGAGGGACACCAGAAATGGGTTCACACATTGTACCCATGTGGGGATTCGAACCCGGGTCTTCGGCGTGTTGAGCCAACGCTTTAACCACTAGGCTACCCCACCGCCCCAAAGTGTGTTCAATGTGGGACATAACAGATATACACCGTCCGGTAGTTACAGGCTTACAATGAACACTGCTGGTGTGTTTTGAAACTCATAGAGGTCTTCTTACTAAAATGCTCCTGTGACAAAAAAGGTTATCATATTAATGGAAGGGGCACAATATGCTAGTGCGTAACTTATATACATTATCAACTAGGTTACCGTTCTCTTTTCCAAAGGACAGCGTTGTTTTGATTCCGTCAGGAGAAATTGCACCTTTCTTTGTGTTATTCAACCCCACCAAACCTGAAAAAGAATAAAAAAATAAAACATAGTTCTCTGTATGTACATTTGTAAGTGAGTGAGTGAGTGAGATATATAACGAACCTTTCATGCAGGGTACTTCGCAGAACTCAGCCTCGATTTCATCTGGCCTCGGTTTGATTTCCTGATGGCCGCGAAACAGCGACGATCGACATGGTACGCCGGCAGGATATGACGTCATTATGGCGTCAATATACCACGGCTTGCATTTCCTCTGTTGGTTGATCTTCTTTATATAACAAACACCTGCAAAACAGGTTGGCCTGGATTCACAATTCGCCACTATGCCACCGTCTCAAATTGTCTAGCTCGCTACCAGTTCGTTACATAACTAAAAAGTGAGATATATCTGGAAAATGTGTAAGACTATATAAGGGGCAAGCGTATGCCTCTATGATAGCAAGGTCAACGACTATGTGAAGATGATGCTTTAACACTGGTTGTCCAGTCTAGTTTGCCAGGTGAATATTATTACGCTTGACCACTACTATTACCATTGCTTTTAAATTTCATACTGGCATTAAGTGTTGCACTGTCATCCTATCGGCTCATTCCCACTTACCCAACTTGCTGGGGGGATTAAAAGAGATTAAGAGTTACGGGTCTGTGATTGTGCAGGGTGAATTTGTTACCCCTGCTTTGGCTGTGGCATAAGTTCACCCACCACTCCAGTGTGAAGATATGTGGCACTGAACCATGCCTTGGAAATGTACAAGAGAGAACTGACAATTGGTGCCAGCACAGTCATTTCATACATTGACTTAGTATCACATTTGACTTGTTATTAAGTGTGCTGAAATATTGATGTTGTATTACTTTGTATAAATGGATTATATTATATATATCATGTGATATATGTTGTATAAATGGATATTTATTATTTTATCCCATTTGGTCCCGGATACCATTTCGTAGGGAAAAAATAAGGGATTATAGGGGATTGTCACACCCCAGTGATTTCTTCTTCTGAAACAATAGGAGTTGGGTAAGTGGGAAGACCCCATCCTATCATACACTGCCATTGCAATCAACTGGCAGTTCTTCCTTTCTATTTGTAATCCTAGATAATCCTATAATACAGTTGTTGATTGTACAACATTTCTTTGTTGTCTGTTAGTTTCACAATGAATCATTTTGCATATAGATCCCTTAGTTAACTTACAGTTACATATTTAGAACAATTATTTAAAACAGCAGCGTGGTGTTTGCTACAAACCCAGTCTCTTCCTCTTCCCGACACGACCACACAGGTTGCACACGCCCCACTCCTCCCAGGATGTGGTCATCACGAGGTTGTGATTGGCTGAAGAGTAAACGAGTAGGGTTATACGTCACTTTCAGCAATACTCCACAATATCACGGCAATGGACTCAAGAAATGGGATTATTACCGGATGGTACTCAGGTCTCCCATCGTCCAAGAGATGAAGAGCACTCTGAACATATTAGTTATGACTGACTGACTGAGTTTGGTTTTACGCCGCTTTTAGCAATATTCCAGCAACATCACGGCGGGGGACACCAGAAATGGGCTTCACACATTGTACCCATGTGGGGATTCGAACCCGGGTCTTCGGCGTGACGAGCCAACGCTTTAACCACTAGGCTACCCCACCGTCCCTATTAGTTATGAAGCCGCCCAGGCCAATTCAACTTGTATATTGTCGATAATACATGAAATACTAATCAAGATGGAGTTAATGTCTGTGTTGCAACAGAGGACAACAGTTTATCTCATCGCGCTATAACTGACGTTACGTCACGTCTTTACTACGCCGCCTCCGTGGTGTAGTGGTTAGAGCGTCCGCCCGGAGAGCGGAAGGTCGCGGGTTCGATCCCGACCGCGTCATACCAAAAGACGTTAAAATATGGTACTTGTTGGTCCCTGCCTGGCGCTCGGCATTAATGGGTACGACAAGGACTGGTCGGCTCGGAGTCAGTATAATTTGTCTGAGTGGGGTATTCATGCTTCACTGCGGCATGGTATCTCAGTGGGCTAGCACTATAAAACCAGCTTCAGTCTGGGCTAGTACAAGCAGCCGCACATACACATACACACGCATGCACGTCGTCATATGAGCGAAATATTCTCAAGCACGACGTTAAACCCAATTTCACCTCATCTCACCTTTACTACGCTGACAAATAACATCATTGTACGTTCGGAAGACGTATTACCAATTCCTGGTAGTGATGTTCATATATAAAGCAAATACACCGCTTCCTTCATAGATGCACCATATTGATTCACATTGCGATAGGTGTACTGTATTGAAAATGTGTGGTGATTCACGTGGCCTTGCTGACATTAAGCATTAAGCTGACCAAAGTACTTCATTAAGAGTTAATGACACAAGCAGCAATCCCAGTCTAATATTTAGTGCATTACTTAATGATCAGACTTACAGTAGGTTCTGATATCCTAATTATATGACATGCAATACTTAATGATCGTAAGTACTTTGTTTTGCTGATGATGCACATATTTTATGCAACTAAACTGACGTTCAAAAGAAAGTACACACCTGATGCGTTGGTACAATATTTTCCTGAAAACAGCGAAATATTTAGAAAAGTGTTTTGATTGCGACTCACAAGTCACAAACATTGTGTACGTGTTGCAATAACACCATAGATATCGTACCCAATTGGAACATTGCTAGCAAAATATTTACGTTGTTTTGAGTCTCAAAGCACCAAGTGTGTACTTTCTTTTGCACATCAGTATATACGGTGTATACCATAAAGGTGCGGTAATGCTGTTGTTGCAGTTAATTCTGAGTCAGCATTCTGAACATGCATTTTAAAACCATTATGTCGTTATCCAAAATTATCGAGAATAGATCTCGAATCTGTTGGTTCAGGAATCCACAAATCTTCATGATTTGTGCATTACTGATCTGACTTACGGTATGGTTTTGGTTCTGCTGGAACCATCGCAGGATTCCTAGAAGACCAGGAAACTGAAACAGGACAATGACATTTCACTTCCACCATGATACAACCGTTTGTCTAGATATACATGAATAGTTTACATTTACACCGGAAATCCTTTTGTGGGACACGAATTTATTTCGCGATATGAACTTTGACAGCACATATTTACTTATAAATTCCATAGGTGCAAATGCATTTTAGCACATTTTCTCTTAGATATTCAAACCTTCGTATTGTACGTTTATAAGTGTATAGACGTAAACACACCTTAGACACTAACAAGTTGAAACCAACGCTCAAAGTGGCTTGTCATTTCCATCTTAAGCCGTGAACATCCGGGTTAGAATTGATCTTCAGTAACCCATGGTTGTCGTAAGAGGCGACTAACGGGATCGGGTGGTCAGGCTCGCTGACTTGGTTGACACATGTCATCGTATCCCAATTGCGTAGATCGATGCTCATGATGTTGATCACCGGATTGTCTGGTCCAGACTCGATTATTTACAGACGCCTCCATAGCTGGAGTATTGCCGAGTTTGGCGTTAAACAACAAACCAAACCAAACCATTTCCCTCTTATATCTATCGAAAATATGTATATAAGGTTTTAGGGCGACCTTGGGCCTTAAAAGGCCTATATGCGCCCAACACTTAACAAACTGTTATATTTTTGTTCAGTTAAATAACATCGTACTTACCCGTTTTAACGAGGAAGTCTAAAACAGCTCTTTGTATGCAACCATACATTAAATTATCGCCAAGTATTGCGTTCATTGAAAAAATAACATCGTATTTTTTAACGGGTTTTGTTAAGCACAGTTTCTTTAAGAGCCTTTACGTGGGTTTTCATGAGCTGGACATTCAATGAGGTAGTGCTGAACTGTTTCTGGGCACTGTAAGTTACAGCTTTCACACAGAGGAGATAAGTCTTTATCTAAAATACTTCTATATGCCTTTAATCCACAATGTCCCAGCCTGAGACGAGTTAAAACAACTTCATCTCTGCGACAACGCCGACGAATTTTAAAATGTTTGTTTACTACAGGACAAGTAGAGTACATGTGTCTACCTGTAGTTTCATTATCCCATTTATTTTGCCAAGATGCATTTATTGAAGATGAAATGACAAACCAGTAATCTCTTGGAATGGGCTTAATTGAATGAATATCTGGCTGTGGTCTGTTGCAAGCCATCTTAGCAATTGTGTCAACTACTTCGTTTCCAGCTACACCAACATGTGCAGGAATCCAAACAATATCACAGCTGATGTACATGGAGTTTAAAACAGTATCAAGATACAAGATGTCGTATAGTATGTCACTGCGTGGACCTTGTACACCTGATTGAATTGCTTGTACAGCTGACAACGAATCAGTAAAAATTATTGCTTCGTGTTCATTATCTTTTACCCATTTTAAAGCTTGAAGTATGGATGTCAGTTCTGCTGCAAATACAGACAGATGATCAGTCAAGCTAAATCATTTGGATAAACCAATATCGGGAATATAAAAAGCTCCACCAACATGACCGGTTCTGGGATCCTTTGAAGCATCAGTGTAAATATGAGTAAAATTGCTATATTTGGTGTGAATGTAATCTTGGGTGAGGATTTTAATAACACTTGGTGACATTTGTTTGTTTACAAGCTCCGATAAATCCTGTGAAATCGAAGGTTGTGTTAAAGTCCATGGAACCGTTTTCGGGAGAGATCGAGCAGCATTCAACTGAAGATTGTTTAACTTGTACTGTAATGCAAATTGTTGTACAAGTAATCCAAACGGTGGTTTTCCATGATTCCAATCACACATGACATATTCCACGCAATCACACAATATATCAGTTGCTGGTTGATACCTAGAGGAAGCTTTTAAGGATAAATAGTACTTAAGGGCAACTTTAAGACGATGATATTGCAAAGGAGGTTCTGAGCATTCCACCTGCAGGGCAGAAACTGGAGTAGTAGGAAAAGCACCAGTGCATATCCGAAGAGCTTTGGCTTGAACACGATCAAGTTTAGCCAAATGACATTTTGCAGCATTCATAAAAACTTGACAGCCATATTCTAATCTAGACAAAATTAGTGCTTTGTACAACAGAAGCAAGGATGATTTATCAGCACCCCACTTTGTGGCAGACACGCTTTTCAGTAAATTGAGAGCTTTAGTACATTTTGATGAAATGTAGTTGATGTGGTTTGACCAAGTGAGTTTTTTGATCAAAGATTACACCCAAAAATTTAAATTCAGAAACAAATTTTATGTCCTGACCACCAATGTGTAGCTTCAGATTTGGAGGAACTTTACGTCTTGTGAAGAACATAACAACTGATTTAGAAGTTGAAACCTTGAACCCCCACTTTGAACACCAAACATCTATAGAATTTAGAGCTAATTGGATAGATTTATGAACAAACTCAATGTTTCCAAAACGCCTCCAACAAGCACCGTCATCTGCAAATTGTGATGCATCAATGTTTAAAGGAAGTTCAGAAAAGAAATCATTGATCATTATATTAAAGAGCAAAGGGCTTATAACACTGCCCTGTGGAGTGCCATTTACAATAATTCGCATGTCAGACACGTGTTGCCCAATACGAACTTGTATGGTTCGATCAGTTAGGAAGGACTTTATCCACTGTAGCATACGTCCCTTTACCCCCAAGCTTTGCAGTTTAAATAAAAGTCCATTTCTCCATAGCATATCATATGCCTTTTCAATGTCTAAAAATACACACAGCATATACTCTTGGTTTCCTAGTGCTTTTTGTGCTTCATTTTGTAGTCGAACTAGGTGATCTATGCAAGAACGAGTTTTCCTAAACCCACACTGTAGCCTCGTTAATAATTCATTTGATTCTAAGTAGAAACTCAAACGATTTGTGACCAACCTTTCCATGATTTTACACAGGTTAGACGTTAAGGCTATTGGTCTGTATGAAACAGGGCGAGATGGATCTTTACCAGGTTTGGGAACAGGGATAACAACAGCGTGTCTCCAGCTTTTGGGTAACTTCCCAGATATCCAGCTTTGATTTATGATATTAAGTATGACTTCTAGAGCTGAATCTGGCATATGTTTAAAGTGTTCGTAACACAATTCATCGGCACCAGGAGATGTATTCTTGCCCTTTGATATTGCCGATTTTAATTCTCCCAGGTGGAAGGATAAATCATATTCAGGAAAAGGTTGTAATAAAGAATCTGAAATTATTGGAATAATCTCATTCTCCAAATTTGTGATTTCGTTTTTAAATTTTGTTGAAAAGTTTTCATAGCTGCTAACAGCCTCAAACTGATCTGCTAAAAGATTTGCTTTCTCTTCACGGGAAATAGCGCTTTGATCCAAAACAGGAATAGGGGATCTATTACGGTTCCCACTAATCCTTTTTACCTTGACCCAAATTGAAGATAAGGAAGTATGCCTGTTTATTGTAGATATGTAAGAACGCCAACTGCTGCGTTTTAATGATCGTACAAGACGTTGGAATTCAGCCCGTTTTTTCCGAAAGTCGTCTAAATCAACCGGTAAGGATGTCCTGCGAAGTCGGTTATAAGCCTTTTGCCGAGCTTTATCGGCTTTGTCACAATCCTTATTCCACCAATACTGAGAATTTCGAGTAGTTGGCTTTCCGGAAGTTTTACCAATAGCTTTTTCTGAGATTTTAGTCAGAGATAAAGTTAGATTACAAGTTGAACGTTCAATGTCATCTGTAAGCAGATCACAGGTTATTTCATTTGAACAAAGTTCAACAAATTTATGCCAATTTGCAGATTTAAATCTCCATCTAGAAAGTCCATGTGCAGGTGTTCGAAGAGGTGTAAACGATATTTCAGTGAAAACTGGAAAGTGATCACTCCCCAGACTGTCGTGTTGATAAACACCCCATTGGCATTTGTGTGATAAAATCGGCGAAACAAGGGTAAGATCCAATGCTGAGAAAGTAAAGTTACCAGTATTTATACGGGTCATTTGGCCAGAGTTTAGCAATATTAAACCTGTGTCATCCAAAAGATTTTCTACAACTTGACCAGCATGATTTGTATGCCTGCTCCCCCCACAGTGCATTATGACTATTGAAATCACCACATATCAAAACTGGTGTATCTACAGAATTTGTCAGCATTTTATAATCATCTAGAGATGGCGAACCATTGCTGTATATATTAACAATGGTTAGGAATTGTTTCTCGTCTGAGACAATTTCCACCGCATTTGCCTCAAAATTAAGTTTCGGCAAGGTATGACTATTATAGGTTAAATCTGATTTGACAAAAATAGCACAACCGCCACGTTTAGGATTTCTGGTCGTAGGGTCATATTCAATGCGATCTTTTCGCATGCTAACATAACCATTAATTTTAAACTGACACTCAGGCCAGAGGAATGTTTCTTGAATGCATATTACATCCGGTTTGAATTCTAGTTTTCCAAGAAACGCCTTAAGATGAGGACCGTGTGCAACTAAACTCTGTGCATTCCACTGCAGAATAGTTAGCAGCAAGAGGGCGCTATCCATTATGATTTATCAGTGGAAAAAGAACGGAAGATATCTTGAGATATATCAATGTGGAGATGAGACTTTGCAGCGGACATAATACGACAAATTTGGTCATCTCGGTTTGGAGCACCAAAACAGACTGTGATAACCTCTAGTAAGAATGCTACAAGATTTTCAGTGGAATTATCAACTCGGGATGGGCTGCTTTCGCTTGATGGACGAGTAGACTGAGATTGATCCAGTGATCTATCACCATGAATAGAACACTGACATGAACATTGAGTTGAACAATTATTTGAACCATGAGTGACCTTGACTGAAGGTCGACTTATTGCAACTTGCGGAGGAGAAGGAACAACTGGCTGTTTAGGACGGAGTTTGACAGCATTTGCAAAGGACATAGACATAGGATTGTTTACTTTGACCATTTGTACGGCTTCTTTATAAGAAACTTTGTTTTCAACTTTTACACGTTGGATTTCTACCGCTTCCTTGTATTTATTACAACCTCTATATGCTGCGCTGTGATTTCCTCCGCAATTGGAACATTTCAAGGTATCTTTAGAAGGGCAGGCATCATAAGCATGATCCCCACTGCAGCGGGCACAAACCTGAACTGTACTTTTACAATTGTTTGATGTATGACCGAAACGCTGGCATTTATAACACCTAAGGGCTGGTGGTACATACGTTCTTACCTTGAAAGACTGATAGTACATGTATACATGCTCTGGGAGTGTGGTACTTGCAAAAGTTAACAAAACTGATAATGTCTGCTGTTTTTCCTTACCTCTGGTTAAACGTTTAGCATCAGTCACTTTGAAGGATTTCAACTGCTCAACTATTTCATCTTCAGAAATATCCAGATCTATATTGTAAATAACACCTTTTGATTCTCGCAAACTTTTGGGGACATAAGCTTTGATTTGTTTCCCACAAATTCGCGTCAATGACAGAGCCGTTTTGGCCTGCTCAGCCGATCTGCAGTGTAACACAATGTCACCTTTATCCAGCCTCTTTAGGCTATGTATATCACCAATATGTTTTTGAATATCCTTAGCTAGTGCAACGGGAGTTACGGATTTCAAACTGACACTAGTGTCTACCGAGGAAAAAATAACAATGGGCTTCAGATTTTTTTCCGTAAAATTTGTCTGAACATCGTCATCATGTTTCCGTTTTGGACGTTTAGCCAACATAGCATTATATTTCTCAGCAAATTCGGCATGAGTAGAAGTTTCCTCAAAATCATCATGAGACGACCAGTCGGCTGTATATTCCCCGTCAGAATCTGGATTCATAACCCTATCTGCGAAGCAAACGCTATCAGTGTTGTCAACAAGCGTAATCCGCCAAGCAAGTTCTGCACAGACAATACGTGCCAAGCGCACGCACAAAGCCGAGCGTGCTCAGCCAACCGAAACAGAGAACGTGCAAGGAAATTTCACGAACACAAACGAAAGGCAATTACAAAATATAATTACTAAATTAATTACCAAAGCAAGTTTCACCAACTATGCTTATGGTATGAAACAAAACAAACCCCAACTAACCACTATAAATCTCAGCGAGAACAATCTACACAGGAACACTGACTCAGAGAGCGAGATACACACGTCTGTCCTCGTCAGCAGACCAAACAAGACCTTGTTTCCATTCACGGCTATGCCCGATAATTATATTACCTCCCTTTGCTGGATCCGCATTCTTAAAGTAACTAATCAGCGAAGCCGCCGTTACATCCGCGCTTGCCAGTGTCAACAAAGATAGCAGTCGCAGTCGCAAAGGTGTGTTCGCAGTGCCACTCAGATTTGGGGGGAAATAATACAGACAAATTGACAGATCTGAAACTTTAAAAGAATATATGAAAGAACTGCTTCAACCTCTTTCAGAGTACCTGTGCATGATCAATTGTGTTGCCAAGTTTAAACGGGTAGATAATTTAAGAAGCGAAAGTGAGTTGTAATTGGTTCGCTCAACTTCCCAGCGTAGTCACCTGACTGGATACAAAGCCAGCAAAGGGAGGTAATATAACTATCAGGCCAAGCCGTGGATGCATCCAGGGTATAGTGGAGAGTGGTCGTAACGTGTACTCTGGAGATTATCGAGGATCGGGAGTCAGCAGTGTAGGAAACTGGTTTACCCGTCAGTTATCCGGGTAATACGCTATCAGTATGTTCAGCAACAGCCAGGACCCCGTGTCCCAAAGCGACCTTGGCGTTAGGACTGTCTTTACTCTGTGTTAAAGTGAGGGAGTGGTCCTGGTTGTCAGTGCCTGTCTATAGTCGCACCACAGCGTAGGGCTGTACTTGCATATGTGCTATTTGGGAAGCTAGATTGTTCCCCCCACCGTAGATACTCATCCTCTTGCTAGAGTATCGCTTCATGACATATCTGCACCAATGGCTTATAAGATGACCAGCGTTCGAAATACATGTACCTGCCCGACCGCCCGGGACCACAGGCCCTCGTGTCTTTGCGAGGATTAAAGATTTAACATTCGTCATAACGTATTATACTGTGAAGCATTTCGAATCGGGGGGTCATCTCAAAAGTTTTATATTTTTCTTAAAATCTTTAATCCTCGCAAAGACACGAGGGCCTGTGCCCAGGACGGGTTATTTTCAACACGGACTGCCAGATTCTCAAATTCACCTGCCCGACGGTCGGGTTAACATTTAGACATGTATATGAAGATATTTTGTGGGCAGGTAAGTTTTGGTCAGGGCTGGCAAGTTTCACATCTAACCAGCCCTGTGGTCTGGCTGAAAGTCTTGGGAGTTTCATACCCTGGGATGACCCAAATGTTAAATCTTTTGGCCCTGTATCTACACATGTGAATACATTTTGTTTAACGCCGCATTGAAAGTGTTTCCGTCATATCACGGTGTGTGAGCTTAGTTTGGGAGGAAGGTGATGCCATTCTCAGACATTTCGGACGGGTGAAACCAAAAACCAGACCTCTGAGAAAGACAAACCTAGAAACTGAGTTGAACCCGGATTCGACGAATCTTTACAAACATGTACATGTCAAGGCTGCAGGTTAATAAGCCTCTGATATTTAATATACGTTCAGAACAATGGTTCGAAGCCCAGGTCGTCGCGGATTCGAACCCACGAACATAGGTTTACCGTTTCCCAAGGGGACGCAACTCTGCCTAGCGAATTGCAGCGCCTTAGGCAGCTGGGGCCCGACGCCTGTATCTATCCAAGAAAACATCCAACCTGTTAACAGTTATATTAAGGAGAGATTATGTTATCAAGGCACAGCATCAGGGAATTTATTATTTTTCTCTGTAGTTTGAAGCCGACATTTTTATAATAGTTTTTCAGGACATCCAGTGTCGCAGTAATAGAGGGAATATATATCGAGTGGTCCTAGTAGACCGCTGAATCTGCTTAGGTTAAGAAGATTACCGTGGGTAGCATACATAACTGGTCCCTACAATCACGTAATATCCGTTATCCTATCAGTGTACTCGTCAATGTTCTACTCAACTAAAATACTGTTCAAAGCCGAGTAAAGTCCAATGGTCACTCTTTGGTACTAATTTGATACACCGACAGGTATACGACAGTTGGTATGTTCTTACCTCCTGTGGGCTGGAGATGGGGAATGCGTAATGAATGAAACTATTCAGAACATATTCCCCACTTATGTATGGAAACGTTTTATTTGGGCTATGTTATGGGTATATTGTATCAGGTTTCTTTGTGTTGTTTGTTTGTTGTTTAACGCCGCACTCAGCCATATTCCAGCTATATGACGGCCGTCTGTAAATAATCGAGTCTGACACAGACAATCCAGTGATCACCAGCATGAGCATCGATCTTCGCAATTATGATACGATGACGTTAACCAAGTCAGCGAGCCTGACCACCTGATCCTGTTAGTCGCCTTTTAGTATATATACAGTATAGTATCAAGCCGCTAAACATGTTTAAATAACAGCTTGTTTCGTTCAAAATTCTAACACAATCCTCAACGACTCCATCATGTCTTGTGTACCCAAACATATTTAACATTGTATGTATTACAGTAATAAAACACATTAGATCTTGTCTGTAAACAATTATATATGTAAAATTATCCTATAGATGAATGCAACATCAAATAATTTTTTAAGTAGCAATACAAATTTAAATCATCTGATTTGTTCTGATTCATTGTGCTCTTTTCAAATGGTGGATGATACTTTTTTCTTTCTTATGAACTAAAAACAGCTAAGCAGTGCAGTTATTCCCATATTTTGTTGTTTTAGACTGACTCTGGGAATGTCTATGCTAATATTTGGCATTATCCCGCTGGCTCTACAATCCCTAGACTCGTCCTATATATGCCACCAACTGGAACGCTGTTTGACAAGCACCAGTAAATATTCACTGTATATATGATGTAAACTCGATGTGGTGCCAACCATTATAATCGTCAGTATACTGCAATTATTAAACATCCTACACATTTTGACACAGTTATTGTCAAAGACATGATGTATGTATTGATCGTCATAAACAGTACGTCATTGACGCCGCTCCCGGCATCAGCTGTCCACTCACTTTCTCTCACCATCATCTGCGACGTCAGCAGCACTGCAACAGACACATGAGCGCTATACATTCAGGGGGTCTTTTATATATAATATACACAGTAATAGATTGTCTTTTGTCACGAATTGCTATGGTAACAGCCAATTACTGTTTATAATTGTGAATTATTTAAAGAATAAAGGAAACAAATTCCTGATTGATGTCTTGATAATAACGTTATTCTATTCCATTGGTTTAACTACTAATATTGTAGGGACCTCACAAAATGAAGTTCATATGCTAGTGTTTTATTTCAGTCTGGATCCAGTACAAATTAGAAATAAATCTGATACTGCATCGTCGGTTTGTGTAAGTTTCTCAATAAGACTGCTCTGAAGGGGACACGGCAGTCTGGTTCCCTGGGTAAGCTGACACGACTTATTTTTACTGTAGAAAAATGTAAAAATGGGTGGTTACAATTATTTCTTGGCATACTTATCGATATTATAGTTAAGTATACGTCACCAGAAAAATAACCACTGTCACTTGTGCTCACCTGTTCGCGAACACCTGCAGGTATCCTCAGTATTTGCTGGTGATTCGTAAACATTTGCTTGTGACTGACTGACTGACTGAGTTTTGGTTTTACGCCGCTTTTAGCAATATTCCAGCAACATAACGGCGGGGGACACCAGAAATGGGCTTCACACATTGTACCCATGTGGGGATTCGAACCCGGGTCCTCGGCGTGACGAGCCAACGCTTTAACCACTAGGCTACCCCAGCGCCCCCATTTGCTTGTGATATAGTCAGAGTTATACAATTCTGCTGTTAGAAGAAATTTCTTATGGATGTGGAAATGGTTTGTCGTTTTTACTTACATTACCATCAACAAACATATTTCAACTTTGAGAAACCATGACAACAGTGCTCATTATGTACCCACCATCAAAATGATACATGAACCTGAACGTCCCGTTGTCGGAGAGGAGGCTGTAGATACTATTCTCCGCCATTTTCGTCTGGATCTTCTCGTCCTTTCTCGTATAGTCTCGGCAGAAATAGGTGCCAATGTCACCTGGAGGGCGACAAGCAATCTTTATATAACGAAACCTTGTAAAAACTGGGACTTTGAATTAAGCAATTGTAATGAAAAACATGGCAATATATATGGAAGTCACAACAGATTTCTCAAAGCCTTTGTGATACATGTGCACGTTGTCCATTTGAAGAGTTTCAAGTAATGTCTAATGACAGCGCGTCGGAATCTGCCACAGAATTGTCATGATCTGTGTAGAAGTATGCTAAACAAAATATAATGCTTGTTAATCCATAAAATAAAGTCAGATCATCTGCCCTCTGGTTTGATAAAGAATGTGAAACACTGAATAAAAATAAATACATGATGTTGGATAAATTTTAGAACAAGTGAGCCTGTTTAACTAGAATCGTTTCAGTCGAAACTGTTTAGAGAGCCCTGTCAACATAAAGGCAGCACATACATTGAATCATTCATTATCTAATGATAACAACTCAAAGAGATTCTGGTGCTATATTATATCTGTCATCCATCTTCATCATGCACAACCATTACTAGCTTTCAGTGGACCCAGTACTTCAAAAAGGTTTTAAATATTCCTAGACAAATAGATGAATCAGAGTTTGTTGATTTATTGATAACTATATTGACACTGACGGAAGTGGAAGCATGGAGGTAATATGTTGTTATTCTATTAACACGTGCTTCGTAACAGTAGTTTAATTCTGAATATTTGCCTGTTCAGTGTAACCAGTGAAGACCCGTTTTAGAATTGGTCTTCAGCAACCTGTGCTTGTCGTAACGGAGCTGGATGGTCAAGCTCTCTGACTTGGTTGACACATGTCATCGTATCCCAATTGCGTAGATCGATGACCATGATGTTGATCACTGGATTGTCTGGTCTGGCCATTATTTACAGACAGCCACCACATAGTTGGAATATTGCTGAGAGCGGCGTTAAACAACAAATAAAAGATGCTAGAGACAGTCTAACGGAATGGATGACAGTTAAAATACATAAGCAAACTTAACAACAGTTCCTTTAATATCAAATTTCGTAATAAAAACAAACAAACAAAAAACACAAAACCTACGTATACTTTCCTCTGCCCCTCAGTTTATGAGACTAGAACCGAAACAAAAACATTTTCTGCTATTTTATCTAGATTTAACGTTGGGAATGTAAAATAACACCATGTATTTTGTTCACATGAACGAAGTTGTTGGAAACGAAATTGTACCGCACCGATCGGAGGAATATTATCTAGGACATCTCTTCATCCGATGTGATGGCCTTCTTGTCGATAATGATCTTCACTCAATTTACTGTTTCTGGTCAGGTGACCTCTGACGGCTTATTTGTCAAGAGGCTAAATTTAGAGATTACCGTGATCACTTCAAAAGACTTTGATGAGTCGGATATATAACTATTTAAATTCAATTCTGGTAGTTCATTTTGAACCACACGGCACAATCTCTAAGATATTGGGAATGACATGGTAACAGCAAGGCAGTAAAAAACAACATGGCAGCAGTAGCAGAACGAGGGTGTGACTCTGCAACACAGTGGCAAAACATAACAGTAACCCAGAAACACAGTAAGGCACCAATACAGTAAAGTAACAAGAAGCAAGAAGATACTGACGTTTGTGGCTTAAAATCTGTTGAAACTACTCGTATACATGTATGGCATTGTTCAACAAACAATCGTTGAATCGACACCCATGCCAACCAGGATTATGACATGCCCAAGGGACGCAACCCTGATGACATACCAGCAGTCACAATGAAAGCCAGCCTTTGGACCAAAACCCGATCAGGCTCGTGCCTGTATATTCTATTACATCATTATTCAATCAGCTTATCTGATTTGTCAGGAATGGCCTCGTTGTTGGTTTTGTCCAGTCAGTATGACAAATAAAGTAGAAACGTTTAACACTTAGCAGCAAGCATTGGATTTATCCAGATGGCTAATTCTGGTATCATAAGACAGTTGGGTTCATCGGTGTTCATGCTATTAACCGCTGGTTTACTTTAGAGATTCGATAATTTACAGCCATCAGTATTTGTCCGCTGTTTTCTGCCTTGTAAAGATTGACAAACTGATAAGATTCTACTGACTTTTCTTAGCTTGCTTGATGTGAAGAGTGTGGTCAGCCCCGACGTAAACTCGGTTCTGTGACTCGTGGTCATGCATGCCCAGTTCGACCTCCTTGAGAACGTACTTTCCTGATGTCCTCTGTCGAGTCAGGCGATACCACACCATGGACACGAACTTTGTCGTTTCGTCACCACTGAAACCATGGATTGAGCCATTATCATGATTGGGAACCTGTAGTTCGTTATACCATTTTGACTAAAATATAGCAAGTGGTCTGCACCGGAAAAACAGCCGTTAGTTCGTTAAAAGCGTGTTCGTTTTAAACGCCGTATTCCAGCTACATCACGGGGCCCGTAAATAAGAATTCTCGACCAGACAATCCATTGATTGATGTAATGACCAACGACCCACAACATCTCGGTACGATGACACGCCATTAGCCAGACTGACATCTGATCCACAGTCGACTACATCTTGCTACTTGGGATGTATTTGAAGGATGTTTTGCTCAATTCTCAATGAACGTTTACAATCGTTTGCAGATGTTTATGATAAAATCCCCCAGGCCCAAACAGGATTCAGGAAGAGACACAGAACAACCGACAATATCTTCACTCTTCAAAGTTTGATTCAGAAACATCTCTCAAAACGAGGCGGTCGCTTTTATTGCATATTTCTGGACTTTAGAAAGGCCTTCGATTCAATTAATAGACAGCTTCTTTGGTACACACTAATAAGAAACGATATCCATGACAGAATACTGAATGTGTTAAGGAATATGTACTCTAAAATATAGTCAGCTGTGAGAACAGGTACTAATTCAATCTCCGACTATTTTCAATGTTTGAGCGGTGTACGACAAGGGTGCGCTCTCAGCCCTTTCCATTTTACAATATTCATTTCAGAATTTCAAGTCAAGTTGGTAAATGCCGATCTTAGAGGAATATTCGTCGACCTTGAATTTATGGAGCTGTTTCTGTTACTTTTTGCTGGTGACCTATGTATATTCGACGATTCTGTAATTGGACTTCAAAGAAAAACTGATAATCTGCACAACATGTCTGGCATGGGGAGTAGAAGTCAACATGAACAAAACAGAAATCTTTGTCTTTCGGAACGAAAGTGTGAAAAATGGTACTTATAAACACCACAAATAAAATGTTCAACATATTATAACTATCTCGGAATAATGTTCTCAAGTCGATGTCATGGAATAAATGTACGGAGACACTTACCACTAAAGCAACTTAAGCCCTATTTGCTATCAAACTGGTATCCTATAAATAACCAAATATATGTCTTCAAGTCTTCTTTTCAAACTAATTAACAAATTCCACACTACACTGTAAATTTGTACTAGGTGTAGGTAAGCATGAGTCCAGCAACGCAGTATTGGCGAAATGTGGTAGATATTGTATAAGTATTGATTATCATAATAAATGTATCCGGTACTGGTGTAAAGTATTATTATGATACTATTTTGTATCTATATTTAAACAAAAACGTGCAGATTATGTTTAGCAAAATTAAAGATTCGGCACATTTATCTTATTACAAATCATTAAAGTCATTATTGGATGTTGAATACTATATTTCTTATGCACATGTAAAGGAGTATCGACTTTATTTATGCTTATTATCTATTCAACAATTGCCTCTCCCGTGCAATGTAAGACGTAAAGATGATAGTGGGATAAGCAAAATATCTAAAATGTGTAACCGTAATAATTTTGAAGGTGAATTACATTTTTTACTTGTTTGTGATGCATATGCAAATTTAAGAAGCAAATGCCTCCCAGATTTTAATTGTCCATCAGTTTTAAGCAATATCATAACTTGTTAACATACAAAGATAAGAATTTACTTATAAAACTTTCACAATTTATTAGTGCACTATCTAAACGGAATTCTATCCAATGTTAGATGAGACATGTATGTATATATTTATGTAAATGTTTAAACCATATTGTCCATATATCATACAACACTTTGCATTTATTGTACACTGGCCAATGGCCTTCATACCGAAATACATTATTCTTCTTCTATACCCTAATGGGTTGTTGCTAACGTTTTCAGCCTACTTAAAGACATATGTACTATTGGCGAATGCGGCGTGAGACATCATTCACTCCTTTACGATGTGTTCGATAATATCAATAATCAATATTTGACCAATTAAAACGTGTTCCTCTGTTACTATTGATCATTTCACTAATCGAATAATATACATTGTATGTACCTTCTGGTTACTATATGATAAAGTGAGTGACTGAGTGTGAGTGAGTTTAGTTATAGGTCGCACTCGGCAATATCCCAGCTATATGGCGGCGGTCTGTAAATAATTGAGTCTGGACCAGACAATCCAGGGATCAACAGCAGGAGCATCGATCTGCGCAATTGGGAACCGATGACATGTGTCAACCAAGTCAGCGAAACTGACACCCGATCCCGTTAGTCGCCTCTTACGACAAGCATAGTCGCCTTTTATGTCAAGCATGGGTTGCTGAAGACTTATTCTACCCCGGATCTTCACGGGCCACTATATGATAAAGAAAAATGATAAAAATATATATTATCAAACATAACTAGTGAGAATGTACACACGACCTGTCAGATGTTTATCCATTATGAATCACATTTGTTTCACCTTTAATAGTTATACAAACAGGCTCATTTTGACATAAAACCTACGGAAAAGTCCAACACAATGTGATATCCATTCCCTGAGAAAGATCATTCATTCATGTAGTTCTTTTAATGCTGATCATTTTAGTGTCAATTGATCTGAAAGTAAAGCTTGCCGTCTGTGGTGCTCTGGTGTACAACAGTGGAAGATGCCAATCATTTCTTTTTGAAATATCCAAAGTATGTCAGCTGCCGGTTTGATTTGATACAAGGTTTACAAATTCTAAAAGTTAGCTTAGATATTAACACCATTTTGTACCGCAGCTTTACAAACTATAAATGAAAATAGTTTTAGTCAAGTCCGTAACTTCATTGTACATAGTAAGCGTTTCAATTAATGTGTAATATGTCTTGCCTCTGTTAACTGTCCATGACATTTTATTTTCCATGTAATTTTCGGCGAAATTGAATAACTTGTGCCCAATCCATTTCAGTACTGACTAAAATATGTTCAAACAAAATCCATTCCATGAAGAATCAGCAATGACTTATTAATAAATTTAAAAAAACGATTGTCATTGAGATTATAACCATCATTCATAACTATTTAGTCATTAATAATTAATTTATCATTGTGTTCATTGTATTTCCTGAATCCTTATTGGCTGAACTGGTCACGTGTTTTTGCATTCATCTCGCCCATGTGAATTCATACTGTCAATTCGTGCGATTACACAATGCCATTAGAACATTGTTAAATTTAATATATGTTACATTGGAGTTACGTCTTCACTGTGAAAAACAGTACTTTTTAGTACTTATATTAGGTTGAGTCCCACCCGGGATTCGAACCCACACACTCAGAGTCAGGTACCTAATCACCAGCACACAAAGTCAGCCATCTAACCCACTCGCCCCTGCAGCTTTAGCGTCACTGTCAATTCTTACATGGGTTTTTCGATTCCTATCTCAATGAACCGAAAAACATACACCAAACATGAATACCAAACATTCTCCCATAAACCCGGAAAAATCGCTTCTTCACTAGAGAAGGCATTCACAAGGCGTACATGCAAATTGTACTCAGGTTACACCCCTTTCCATGACTACCTCACCGCCGCTTACCAGTAGTGGCAGGTAAACTGAGTTGTCTCCCCTTCCTCCACCATGCTGACCAACTGTATAGGCAGGTTGTTGGCTCCTTGTCTCATTGTTTGGAGATTCTTAAGACATCTTGGTTGTTTTCTCTCTGTAAAAGAAATATATATTCAAAGGACAATAATTCGTAAGAACGGTTCGTTAAATACATCCATCTGGTATGTCATTGTGAATGTTGTATTGTTTCAAAAATTGTTTCAAAAATAAATGTTTATTTTGCAGTTCACCGGCCAGACAAGAGGATTCAGTTTGTCGGTCTGTTTCTTTATATTTTTCAGCCCTGTTTTTCTGTTAATCTAATAAAGTCTGTAGTTTTAGGCCGCACGGATAACGGCCTGTAAATAATTGAGACATGACTATCCAGTAATCGATATTCACGATCCTCGTCATCGAGGTCAACAAAGGCACCACGCCTGACCACCCGACACATTGAGTAGACTCTTCTGACATGACCAGCATAGATCTACCATGAACCCGGGGTTTAATGTCCGACTCAGCCAGGGTAATAACTGGTCTTGCCTCACAGACTTTGATTTGTAACTGCGTCATAGGAACATTACAGGAGACATCACTGAAACTCCCAGTGTAGCCATACGCTTAATGACGCTCCCTGCCAAGTTGACAACTGGAACACGGTGAAATATGCATGTAACTCCGGAGCATTGTATGAAACGATTGATTATATCAGGTCGCTTGATTCCAGGCTTTTTAACGATCGTGCTATGCAACATTTCTACGATATAATAAGATGGCATGCGATGGCTGTCAGGGACATATTTTCAGGAATAGTCAAAAACCGTTGAATTCTTTGCGCATCACGGATAACGTTGATACCTGTCATTACAACATATCACTTATATTTTTTATTTATCTATTTTTTTTTAAATTAATAAATATCTGTTCTTGATCTTTTTCCTCGTCTACTTCTTTCTTTTTAAATAACTATTATCACAGTGGTGTTGCGTCAATTGACTTGTATATATTGTCAATTCAAGACTTGGCAACATATATATCCTCTTCAAAAAAAAAGAAACTATACATGCTGTTTTGGAGTTTACTTACTGAGTGCATATAACTGATTCAAACATGACATCATTGCTTAATTACAGTAAAATCATCACTTTACAAATTTCCAAAACATGATTATCCAGAAAGTGTTTGGTAAAACCACAGAGGGCTATTAAAGCCACTTGGTCAGGGTAAAATGTCTGTATCTGGTGCGACCACCATGAGCATCGATAACAGCTTGGCAGCGGTGACCCACAGAAGAAAGGAGATGCCGAATGCTGTCTTGAGGAATGTTTTGATACACTTGCTGAAGTGCTGTGTGCAGTTCTTGTAGTGTCTGAGGTGGCGGATTACTCTGGCGCAAGCGTCGATCAAGAGTATCCCATTGATGTTCATTTGGGGACAAATCGGGTGATCGAGAAGGCCAAGGTAACACCTAAACATTGGTTTTGCTGGAGGAAGTCCTGTCAAACACGTGCAACGTGAGGTGAGCATTGTCATGCTCCAAAGATCAACCGATGACGTTGATGAAGGAAACGACGCGACGTTGAACTGCTCTTCTTGCAAAAGGTCTGGCTTCCCATAGCCAATTGCGCACTATCTTGTCGGAGATTCGGCGAAGTCCAGGGATTTGGATTGTTGTGGATGACGCGGCCCTGGTGTTTGAACTTGCCACCTCATGCTGCGATGCCCGTCTTTGTAAACGGCCGATGGTGTTGTGTCGTTGAGCTTCTGTCAGTCTTTCGTTACGTTTTTGTTCAACCTTTCTTTTTTCAAACGTTTTGTCAAGGTCAACCATTCCCTCACATGTTGGGATTCAGCATGGAATGGTTTGTGTCAAATATGTCCTAAAATTCAAATTTTTCCTATGTACAGTTTCTTTTTCGAAGAGTATATAATACATGTAACAACTATTTCAATGTAATTGCAAGGTGCCTCATAGGCCTGCATAGGTCATGCCTACGTTGTTGGATGCTAGGTTTACAAATCATGGCTCTTTAGCATATCTTTCTTCTTCTCATCACAACCTTTGTCTCAATGAACATTTATTTTCAGTTCCCACGTAGCCATGTCATGAATAAAACAAATTAGAATCCTAATTATTAATCGCTTATGAACATTTACTGCCAGCCAGCCTGTACGAGCTTATTACTGTGGTGTATATTTAACATATTAATATATTTAAGATGACCTTATATCAGCCACGGTCCAGAGGGCCTACCCTGAGTCAAGATAGAGATGTGGTAGGTCCGCTGAGGTGCCTACAACACTACCACTCTGTGATGACCTGGTACATGGGTCATATCTATTAATAAGAGTTTACTTCAATGTTCAGTGTTAACGTAACTGCCCGTGATACTTCAGTATTCTTACTATTGGTGAATATGACATGACGTTTATTGTGGAATCGTTGGTAACACAAACAGTGATGCTGCCCTGAAGGCAGCGTTCAAGGTATCTGTGACATGATTTCTGATGCCATTCTGGGTAGAAGAGTTTATTGATAGTTGATATCATTTTCAATATCATCAATTCCAACAATTATATACATCAGTAATATTCATTACCCATCTCGAATAGCTGTAAGATTGCTGACGTGGCATTAACAATTGTACTTACTCACTGATCACATACACTGGTTCCGAACATTTCAACCATCCAATGAAGTTGGACAATCAGGTAGATATACTAACACACTACATTTCATTAAACTCAAATTATCACGCATGAGTAGTCAATCCAGAGTTAATTAGACTTTCGAGGTGCACACGAGAATAGTTATTGAAAGATAAACGTCGCCACAACTACTATTACTGCTGCTACTATTACTACAACTTCTGTTGTCTCAGAAATGTTGCAGCTGTATGACAGTGATCTGGAAATAATCCAACAGAATAATGCCGTGCAGTTGGGATACGACGACATGGGTCAACCAAATCAGCGAGCCTGACCACCCGATCCCGTTAGTCGCCTCTTACGATAAGCATGGGTTGCTAAAACGAATTCTTATGCGGATCTTCATGTGTAATACTACAATAACTACTACTACTTCTACTACTACTACTACTTCTACTACTACTTCTACTACTACTACTACTACTACTACTACTACTACTTCTACTACTACTACTACTTCTACTACTACTACTACTACTACTACTACTACTACTACCAATCAATAATAATACTGACAAGAATAAAAAAACACTGATATTATTGATAAGTATGACCACAGCGTCGCTTGCAAACGCTCAGAAAGACATGGCAACCTGTTACTTTTAAGAGCAGCCAATATCGCTGACAGCCATTCAAACAACGCGGCAACTTCCACTGTCGTCAGAGACAAGAACCGACCAACTTGGACGCGATAATCATCTAGCTGTTCACCACTTCGTGGCTATGTATATCAGAAACAATTCCATATATAGTGATGTCGGTAAAAACAGTAATTACTGACGTCACCACCTGTCTCAAGTCGGTAGGTCAGTTCAGTGACAATCCACTATACAGCTGGTCTTTGCTGTAGGGGGTGGGGCATGCCCGCGGTGGCTGGTCAGGTCAGGGTATAATATAGGCTATTTGTGTAATCCTTTCCTCACCAAAACTGATCTCTTGTCTTGTGCTCTTCCGTCTCCTTTTCTCATTTCCTCCTCCATTCTCTGATCCTCTGTCTAGCTCTCTTTCCGGCAACCAATTATCTGAAAACAAAATATCGTTGGATGATATTAATTATGAACAACATTTATGTCCTCGTGGGTTAAAGGAAAGGTTATATTTGTGACAAGTAGAGATATAATGATGTTTGCACAAAAATAGTAAAACGCATCGTACACAATGGAAACATCCATGTACTATTCCATATTTCTTAATGGTAAGACAGCCGTGAAGATACTTCGTTCTTTGGTACAACTCAACTATATCAAAGTGACGTTTGTATTGTTTTGTGTTTTGAGGTGAGGTGAAATTGGGTTTTACGTCGTGCTTGAGAATATTTCGCTCCTATGACGACGTGCATGCATGTGTATGTGCGGCTGCTTGTACTAGCCCAGACTTAAGCTGGTTTTATAGTGCTAGACCACTGAGATACCATGCCGCAGTGAAGCATGAATAACCCACTCAGACACATTATACTGACTCCGAGCCGACCAGTCCTTGTTGTACCCATTAATGCCAAGCGCCAGGCAGGGACCAACAAGTACCGTATTTTAACGTCTTTTTGGTATGACGCGGTCGGGGATCGAACCCGCGACCTTCCGCTCACCGGGTGGACGTTCTAACCACTACACCACGTTGTGTTTTGAATGAGTCATGTGCCGCATATAACAGTATTATGGTACAGGTAACACTGTGTATACAGTAAGTGAAGCTGACTTATTATGTGCATATGGGAATCGAAACGTTTTTAGGCAGGTGAGTAAGGCTTGAACCACCAGGTTAATAGAGGTTAGAGACAGGAGCTTTTCCTTGAGTTGCATCACATACAGGATACAATCATTCATAGAATTCAGTCAAAATACTTCTATTATTCAAAAAGCCCATGTGTATTTTGTCAGAATGTTCCTTTATACGTATAGTTTGGCATGAAATGCATGTGGACCCGTTTTTTTGTAAATATCTCTTCATCCAATGACCCAATCGATCTCAAGCTGTGCAAGTGGATGTTTTGTCAGACAACCTAATCACATTGTAAATCACCGATTTTATGCATTTGTATTAAAGAATCTGTCTATGTAACTGTCAACAAAATAAACAGCAGAACGCAGACGGCTTGCAGAGGGAGGGAGCCAATGACCTGTAACACCCATCTGGTGTCATCTGTCCGTAATATTGCTGATATATAGCTAAAAGCAGCTAAAACCTTATTCACTCACTTAATTGTACCCAGATATTTTTAACTTATCTTAATGCTATATTCGGTATCTTTCCACTTTCCGATCGATTCTGTCCGAGATTAAAACGTAAGCCCTGAAAATTCCTCACATCGACTTCAAACAACAACAAGCATTGTCACTAAGGTGACATAATCCCCCCGCCGCAAATTATCAAATCAAACTTAAAAAGTAATGAAAGTATAAGATGAAGTTAAATGTCAACCTCTTGATATCTTCTCTTTAGTTGTTCAAACACACAAATATTTTCAAGACTGACTTTGACCTTGACATGAATGTCATAGTGTATGAAATATGCAAAAATGGTACTAAAGAAATTGCTTATTGAAAAACATTCAAGGGAAGTCTTGAAAGTCTATGAAGAAAAACCAGTCAATTCAGGTTAACATGCTGAAATCTTCAAAGTGTCGCAGTGACCTTGAAAATTATGTGAAAGTCACCAAAATCGACTGGGCCCTGAACCTCCCCCTAGATAAAGCTTGGTGTTGAATATGAGGAAAATCAGGTGAACGGTTCTTGAGATATCTCGCTGACAAGAGTAAAACGTTAAAGTCCCCTTGTGACCTTGAAATGCAGGTCAAGGTCACTGACTGGGACCTTTCTTATACTGTGATGAACCTAGGTACCAAATATGAAAAGGATCTAGTCAACGGTTCTTAAGATATTCCAATTCGTACGTACGTACGGACGGAGCCTAATACTATATCCCCAACTTCGCGCGGCGGGGGATAATTATCAAAACGACAGATTCATTTAATTCACAGTGAACGACAATTGTACCTTTCTGTTCCCGCAGTCCCTCGTGATCGATAGTCGACGTGAAGACGATCCTGTACGATCCCACACCTGCAGCAGATCAGAGTTTGTATTTTTGTGGTTTATATACTCTTGCATAAAAGTAGTGGATCATAAAAACATGGTACCACGTACCACGTAACAAAGATTAGTGTTAAGGACACACATCTAGTGCAAAAACGTTTAAGTCTGTTAACGTAACATCAAAACACATCAGTCTGTCAGTAGTGCCATAAGTGCTACGGTATTTTCCCAATTGCGTAGATCGATGCTCATGCTGTTGATCACTGGATTGTCCTGTTACAGCGAGCAGCCGGCTAGCTGGAATATTGCTGATTGCGGCGTAAAACAACAAACAAACAAAAAGCAGTCGTAAGTCTATGATAAACTATAGAGTTACGACAGGTCGTAACATTACGAACGCTTTGTGGATCGAGACCCAGACGCTTGGAAATCGTCTACCTGCAGCTCATCTCCATGCTCTACCTAACCCTACAAATCGTCATATTGCCCACAGACGTCAATGATGCTGGCCTCCACAACGTCGAAACCTAGGTAATCGTTGCCGGTGACTTATGTTTTCAGAAGAGTTCCGCTTCACTCTACATTCCTTGATATGGGTTGCCATCACCCTGTCTGAATATTGTGCAAGGAAGGGTCACTGGACGGTTTAAATGGGACAGCAAACTGTCATCGTTTGGTGTCGCGTTTACAAGTTGTATGGGTTGACTGTTACGTTATTTTTGAACAGTAATATTCTAAAGTTAACCATCATTTTGTCATATTGACAAAGGGTACCGTCAATGTCCAATCCATCCGTACCCGTACATCAAACCTATTTTTAGGCCTATTACTGATGATGCGCATTTGAATAGAATCGGATCGATAGTCCAGATGTATGAATAATAATTTAAAACTATTCCGGTACCCTTACCCTGTCAACTTACCCTGACACAAAATACTCGCAAACAGCAAACATTGCACAAATAAAATCATTCCAGTCTGGTCCTACTTCTCGATCCTTCTCTGCCCATGTTCATGGCAGCCATTTGCATTAGTCTTTGTGTTGTGCCCACGGTGACGCAATAGTAACGTGACGTCACAATAAAATGACGTAACGCGGCTTCATTCGGACATTCGTCGGGTCACTCAAACAGCATCGGCAATGCGAAAGTTGTAATTGTGTGATAAACTGACAAAAATAAAATAGCGTTTCCAACATCTTTGTCATTACAATACCATAATATTAGAGAAAACAAAAACACCTCAGATTTGTAATTATTTTAAAAACTGATTTTGAAATAGTGAGTTTAGTTTTACGCTGCACACAGCAATATTGCGGTAAATAATCGAGTCTGGATCAGACAATCCTGTGATCAACAGCACGAGCATCGATATACGCAATTGGGAACCGATGAAATGTGTCAACCAAGTCAGCGAAACTGACCACCCGATCACGTTAGTCGCCTCTTACGACAAGCATGGGTTATTGAAGATCGTTATTCTCGCCGGACCTTCACGGGTCATTACTCCAGAGGTAAGGTTCTTTTTCCCCACAGCTCACGGCAGCTGGGACCCAGTGGCCCAAGCATTCACTTGTCGATTCCCTAGGGTAGGTAGTCTGCGGAGCTCATGCATCGTGCCCCCGACGTGATATTGCTAGAATAATGTTAAAACAATATAAATCAATCTAAATGACGAACTAGGTTGATATCACGCGGTCCGACCCACGCAGTCTTTCCAAGATGAGACACTACCACAGCAAGCAACAACGTTGTAAAACACCGATGATAATATACAAACAAATTTACGAAACTGGAAATCTCTCAAAGTATGCATCAGCATGCATGCTCATAAGCTTAGAGTTAATATTTTATATTTTTACTTTGTAGGGAAAAGATCCGAACATTATTATTTCTGCATTGAAATATTGGCGTCGGCGCGATGATCAGATATACATTTCACGGCCTATGTCCCAGTCATCGCCACGAGGTGATGCGCATTGCTCCTGACAGATGTCGACAGGTGATGACAGGGAGGGTGACCTTAGGGACATGAACAAAAGAGGTAATTGATAAGCTGATGCAAGGAAACAAACGCACATGTATATATTACAAATAGCACGTAACTACACCTACATGGCTGTAAATGTCGACATTCAATGTTTATTTGATAAACTTTCCAACAAATGCCCTGTGTGGTGGGGGAACAGGGGAAAAGGCGAGGTAGTAATTTGCATTATGTTACATTATGTTATGACCCCCCCTCTCTCTCTCTAATAGTTTTAGGATTATCATTTGTAATGTTATATATAACTGCTTTATGAATGTAAAAACTGGAGAAATATACATGATACAAAACAACCACCCCACCCCCACCCCACCGCCCTCTCTCTCTCTCTCTCTCTCATTATCTCTCTATCTCAAAATCTCAACCTCAACCTCACTCTCTCAACCTCTAATATATACATTTTAGGGAATGGAAATCCCAGATTGTTACAAAAATACTCCACTTTGTTCTCACGGTGGGAAAACCCCTATAGGGAAATCCTGCACGTGTAGTATCCTAAAATGGAAGTGTGACGTAGAGACCGGTTTGAAATAGAGGCGCCAGCAAAATGGCGGCAGATGAGACTGTCGAAAGTAAGTGTAAATACCAAAGTGGGTGTATATTACGATCCTGTGTCGGATTTGAGTGAATTAGGATCACTGGTGTGATGATCATAACGATTTCATGCAACACATATTGATACCTTTCGCAGTAACAGCGTTGTTCTAATGGAACCGGCAAAGTGTTTCGATATCAACAGTGTCAATGGAAGGGCCCTGTTTAGGTGTCGGGGTGTGATGATGAAATACATTTCAGAATTTTTTCTTATTTTTTCGGGGCCATTGATACTTTCCTATTTCATGTAGACAGCAAAATGTTTGTTTCATAAAGAGGAATTTCTCTTTTATATAATTATTTAGGACTCAAATGTTTCACATCTCAATATTTGAAGGGGTTGTCAACATTGAGTTTTAATACCTTCACAGGGCCCCAGTATATGATAAACATGACACCTCAAAAATATATTGACTCCCCCATACAAATATAGCTAGCAGGGAGCAACTGTAATAAACATAATAACAGGTTAGTTTTGTTCCTTGAGGTAAACATGTCATTATAAACATCATTTTGTGTTTGAATTTAGTAGCTTAGAAATGAGACTAGTAGATCTACAAAATGAGTCAAATGTTAGTCAATCTTCAGATCTAGTTTACTAGGATGTGAAGAGTTCACTGGCTCAATTTCCAAAATCGCTAGAAACTAAAAATCTTTATCGTGTTAATATCAATCTGAGAAATATGTTATTTCACTATGTTCATGCATATTGGATCTATATACAGCACAGGTTGATTCAAGGAAGTGAATGAAAACTTGTTAGTAGGCCCAGGTAGATGTCACTTAGTTAGCTAGTCTGATATCAGTGCTCTCAAGCAGTTGTTAGTGTTCAAAATATTTGTCTTCCTAATGTTGTGGCCAGTAAATGTATTATTTGTGGTGAGAACAGAAAGATTTATTACTGATAACATGTGTGTAGATACGTCTAGAATTTGAGGCCCATAATAAACCCGCCGGAAGTACTTGAAAATATAACATGCTTTAGACACGGGCAATTACATAGCATCACTTCATCTTTCTATGTTTAGTAGCGGTAGAACATAATGATAATAATGATAATATCAATGTTTGTTTACACTCAACTTTATTCCTGCTAAATGATGGCAGTCTGTATGTAAATGCATCCGACCAGACAATAAAATGATTTTAGAGCATGGATCCATTTATCTGTGGTACACACGTTCAAGCAAGTCTGACCACCCAATCCACTATTTGCCTTTTATGACAAACTTGGGTCCCTGGGGAAACTGCAATGGCAGACAGATTTGGTTTTTAATGGATTACCAAAGATGTATGTTTTATCGGTAACTTAATTCCTCGCTGAGTAGGGTTGTGCCTCTCAGGGATTCCAGAGTGCTAATTAAGGGGCGGTGGGGTAGCCTTGTGGTTAAAGTGTTCGCTCGTCACGCCAAAGACCCAGATTCGATTCCCCACATGGGTACAATCTGTGAAGCCCATTTCTGGTGTCCCCTGCAGTGATATTGCTGGACTTTGTTAAAAACGGCATAAACCTAAACTCACTCACTCACTCCAGAGTCCTAAGGTTTAGGGTTCTAATCCTTACTAGTGTTCATCATCATGCATTGGGAACTGTGTCGACCAGCCTCACTTTCACCTTCCTTCCCACTTTTCGCTGATGTGATATTACTGAAGCAGGGTTTTTCCTTACCCTACAAAACTCATCCTCGATAATCTCCAGGGTATATGTTATGATCCCTCTCCACTATACCCTGGATGCATCCACAGCTTGGCCCGATGATTATATTACCTTCCTTTGCTGGCTCCGCATATTCACAGTAGCCAATCAGCTAAGCCGCCGTTACATCCGCGCTTGCCAGTGTCAACAAAGATAGCAGTCGCAGTCGCGAAGGTTTGTTCCCAGTGCCACTCCGATTTTTGAGGACATAATACTGAAAAATTGACAGATCTGAAACTTTCAAAAAATATATAAAAGAACTCCTTCTACCTCTTTCAGAGTACCTCTGCATCAATTGTGTTGCCAAGTTTAAATGGTTAGATAATTTAAGAAGCGAAAGTGAGTTGTGATTGGTTCGCTCAACTGAGCTTCCCAGCATAGACACCTGATTGGATAAAAAGCCAGCCAAGGGAGGTAATAAAATCATCGGGCCATGCTGTGGATGCATCCAGGGTATAGTGGAGAGTGATCGTAACATATACTCAGGAGATTATCGAGGATCACAAAACTAGGAGTCCAGACAACCCCTAATAACTAATTTCAGGTGAAAGGTCCTTACTGGAAATGTATATGTCCTATAAAGTAATATAGTGTACTGTACTCTTAGATGTAATCATATTTATAACAGGTAGTTTATATTTCTTGTGAATGCAATTTATTTTTTAGTTATCCATTTTATATATGTGTATTGTCACACATATCTTCGTCACGTAAAACCCTGCTGAAATGTCATTGAAAGAGGTGTTAAACTCAACCCGCTCACTTTACTATATGTATGTTATAGTGTATTTGTACATTTGTAGGCTCTGCCAATGCTCTTGTGAGTTTGAAAGAGGGTATGTATACCTATCCAGTTGGATACTCTCACAATCACAGCTTTGTAATGCCATCACCTTCCATGGGATTTGTCATCTGTGTCTATTCATTTGGTTTATTAATGTATTCAGTTTCATCACCCTGATTGAGAATTATTATTTGCATTGTGAGAGATTCATTTCGTTTAAAACTAGTTCTGAAGTCTCTTGTAAACCTTGTTTGACCAGTTTGTATCTAGTTTTGATTGAACGTAGCAAAGATGTTAACATTCGGGCTGGGACGGGTAACCCGGATACCCAGGACGGGTGGGTATTGAGTTGGACCCGAGTACCTGTCTCAGTACCCGGACCCATTATGAACATGTGACTAAATGATTAAACAATGTAATATGTTATTCTTTCATGATTAAAAGGTTGTATTGTCTTTGAAGATTTAGACATTATTTACAGTCACCTGTTCTGAATATAATTCATGATTAAGATATTTCAAAACTTGAAATTTTAGCCTCCGAGCTGAAGAATATATTGCCATTTCTTACAAATTTGATGTCAAGAATTAACATATCGGGTGTCTGGGTAGGGTAGGGTAATGCGGCGTTGGGTACCTGGGTAGAAAATTTGGACCTGTCCCAGCCTAGTTTACATTATCTGTCAGATTTTTATTCAGTCCCATTCTGTATCCAAAATGAAGCTTTTAGGACTGGTATTGAATTGTGGCCAAGAAATGTGCCTAGTCAGTTAGGAGATAAACGTTGGCCAATTTCCTGGTGTTATTGAGTATTTAAAGCATGGGAATTCATTTGGAACCGACGGCGTCAGCTGGAGGTTTCAAATGAAATATTCCCGTGCTTCAAGTACTCAATAACCCGGAAATTGGCCAACACATGATGTTTATCGACATTGTAAACACAAAAGTAAACCAAAAGATCTACACACGTTTTTGTGTCTGCACTCATTGACATCGAGTACGGGTACAGCAGTGAAATGTCATCAGCCGGCTGTTTCAGCTGTCTCCCATGGTAGCATCTGGAACTGCTCATTTGTGACGTCATTAGGACTCTACGTCACAATATGATTTTAATGACGTCATCACAGCTGACGATGTAACAATACAATGGTGTGAGCGATCTTTGTATGTATTAATACGCAGCGAATTTCCGGGAATCGAATACCATTTGATCATGTTTTTCAACCTATCAGATTAAAGAGCACAGTGACTTTTGGTTTACAATAAGGAATACCATTTGTGGATTATTCCTAGTTGTTTAGCGATAACACTGCATACTTTTTCGCTGGGAAACTTTTTCCTGCCAGGAAAAAATGTAATGAAATAGTTTTTATTGTACACAAGGTGTATTTTCTTAAATTATCTGGAACACATTATATACAAAATTTCCTTTTTCAAACTTAGTTATATATGTTTAATTTTTAATTAAATTCAATGATAATATTGAATGCAAGGACATATTGAGAGAGAGACTTTAACATTTTGTTGTAATATTTAGTTGGCTCTCTGCTTTACAGCACATTTAGTGTTATCATACAGAGTGTATTAGCTGATATCTTTAGACTGAACAGAATTTGCTAGACACAACCTTCATACTTGTGGATTTAGTTCCAGACTTCACAATTCATGATTATCATGATTATGTATGCATATTTGTGTCATTCATGCAGATCACATAGCTTTTGAACATGTCACATGTTAATCACAAGGTGATAATGAAATGGAATTCATGTGTATGTTACCATGGTAAATAAATCTGGGAAGAATTTTGGAATTGAGAATTGAATTTACATAAATACTTTTGTTAAACATGGTAAATGATTGATAGTTCTGATGAAAGCATGAAAATGTAAGACACTTAAAGATTTTATGGATACTTTGCATATTTTGAATGTCATTTTCAGTGTTTAAAATTTTGAAAAACCGTTGCCACTGTTTATGCCATTGTTTAAGGTGATCTTTTCTCGTCTTGCTTCACTGTTACGTTTGATAAGAAAATCAGTAGTTTTACATTGTACAGTGTTGACACTTTGTTGCTGCTTATCTGCCTTCGTTGTACATATAACTATATGTATTTTATATACGCTTTGTGTGTTATCAGCAACAGCCATTGAAATGCATGGCATTTTAGTTGCATACATGATAAGCATTGAAACATTGTCAAAAAAATGAAAATAAATATGAATATGATTGTTTTGTCTGAACTGATCTGTTTATCATGTTTATTGACATGAGCCAGCGAGTTTTGTGTGAGAAATCTTGAATACATTCTTTTGCATTATTGTTTGTTTCCTCCCTTACATTCTTCAGCTGGGTACAATGAATGGTTCTTTTTTAACGCTGCATTTTCCAAATCATTTAACAGATACAGCGGTGGGGATTCCTCTGTTGACTATGTCTCCTAGCACCTGTGCTTCATGAAGGAGGCAAATAGATTGGTTGGTTAGGCTTGGAGACTTGGTTGACTTTTTGTCATTGCCCCCCAACAGCATGGATCATTGCATGCTGGATTAATCACCAATTTGTCTGGTCCACACAGGCTGAATACATATTGCTGGAATATTCCAGACTGTGGCAGTTTGCAGTAGACAAAGAACATTCAGGGGTGGAAATAACTTTAAAATTGCTAGTGTACTCCGGTACAGTGGCACATGTAAAATCACTTGCCCTCATAATTTTTCCACTATACCGGCCGTTTTCTTGTTGATTTTTTAAATAAACAACATAATTAATATTTGAAAGTCAACTGGACACCGGTACAGTGTGATATACAAATTTTCTTGCCCGACAGAAAAATACACTGGACTCGGGCGTCGGGCAATGGGTTATTTCCACCCCTGTTTTGTCACCTGGTGCTGGCTGCATTATTTTAGCTATGCCACAGTTGCCAGTTAATAATAAAATCTGATCCTGACCAAGCAGCCAGATAATGGGCAGTGATCCCTAGGAGTCAATTCAGTGATCCATGTGTGTTCAGTCAGAGAGCCTGACCACCCAATCTCCTCCCCTTTCTCTCTCACCCCACACTCCCAACCATGAAGAAAATGTTGTGTATTAAGGGATAACAAAGAATATGTATTACCTGTTTCAGCTTGTCTCAGTGTCTTTTTTGTAAGATTGGTTTGCCGTAGTGTAGGACAACAAATAGTGACAGAATATGAGACAATGCTGGGATGATGTTGAAGATTTATTGTGATACTATGTGTTCCAGAGTAGGGAGGGGTGGCAGGGTAGCCTTGTGGTTAAAGCATCCGCTAGTCACGCTGAAGACCCGGGTTAGATTCCCCACATAGGTACAATGTGTGATGCCCATTTCTAGTGTTCCCTGTCATAATATTGCTGAAATATTGCTAAAAGCTGTGTAAAACTAAACTCACTCACTCACTGACCCCAGAGTAAGGTTTTCCAGGAAGACAGAAAAATACATAGCATGGTGGGGGTTATAGTGCTCAACCAGATCGGGTTTAATAATGGCATTAATAACCTAAGTACAAGTTTACATTTGTGGAGTGAGTGAGTTAATATTTAACGTCACATCGGCAATATTTCAGCCACATCGTGACCACATTTGTGGATATGTTTGCCAAATATGACTCAATATTGTACCTGTTTTAAGGCAGTGCTGAGGCTGATACAATCAACAAAGAGTGTGAATTCTGTAATTGTACTCGAGTGAGGCCATTGGCAATTATTGCTCCAAGGGTCTGTTAGTGTCAAATACTGATAGCTCATTCTTGGTTTCAGGAAAAGGCAACTCCTACAAGACGCCTCCCAGAAGAGGAAATGTAAGTCTTACATTTTGTTTATCAAACATCATTATTGATGCAGCGTCCGTACGTACGTCCCGATTCTTGTTATCACGATATCTCATGAACTGTTGTACCCAATGTCTTCAAATTGGTGACAGCCTACATTGGGGGATTATGCAGACACAGTCGATTTGGGTGACCTTGACCTTATCTTCAAGGTCACCACGACACTTTGAACACTTTTCAAACTCTTGTTAACGTGATATATCATGCACTGCAGGGCTCGACATTCACACTATCCCACTGGCCCGGGTCTAGTAAAATGTTGACAGGACCAGTGCAACTTTGATAAGTGCTATCCCGACAGTCTAGCAGATGTATAAGGCTGTCAATGAGAGTCCCTGGTCCTATGGTCTTGTTCGGGAATTTCAGTGAATGTCAAGCCCTGCACTGTTGTACCCAATATCTTCAAATTTTGTAACAGAATACATGGGGGGATTATGCAGACACCAGTTGATTTTGTTGACCATGACCTTATCTTAAAGGTCACCACGACACTTTGACCACTTTTCAAACTTACATAAACTTAATATACGTGATATCTCATAAAACATTGCACCCAATGTCTTCAAATTTGTTTCCAAAGTTGTGAGGTTTTCCTCCTCACACATGCACAGGGTAGGTTCGGGTAGAAAGATACTTGGTCCTGCACAACTTATTATGGATAGTTAAAGAGAAGAGAATTTCTGTTACAAGTCTTAAGGTTTTATTGAGTGATGACGACCAAGATTTAGGATTTGCAGCTATGATGTAATAGAGGTAGTACTTGAATAATTAATGGCAAATATTGTTTGATTTCAGCCTCCTCGGTTACGGAAGAAGAACCAGCGATTTTACAATGAGGATGAAGAGACGGACTATTCCCCTGCACGATCACCGAAGAAACAATCACGCACCACATCTTCCAATTCAGCTGGAGTGAGTCTTTACATGTATGCAGTAGAGTTCATAGTTAACATCTGAAACACTTTGTTTCCCCAAACTAATATACTTGGTGTCTTTTCTGTCTAATGCCTATCCATTTGTAGCAAACATTTACAGTTTCATCATCTTTGAAAATACAATTCCTGGGAGGTTGGATCACGGTATGTCCTCATGTTATGGGTTTTTCGGACACTTAGGAGCATCCATTGTATCGCTTATTGCATGAACAGTATTGAAAACATGTCACTAACCTATAAAGGATAACTTGATATAAATTTTTCTTGTTTTCCAGTCGGTTGGCCGATCCACCCTGACAACGCCAGACAAACGAGCAGCTCAGGCCATTGGTGTCAGACTTCGAAACTTGCTCAAACTTCCCAAAGCACACAAATGGGTCTGCTATGAATACTTCTACTCAAATTTAGACATGTAAGTTGATTTTCTTCAAAAGTTGAATAAGAAAACAAAACAACATGCATCTTGACCGGATTGACTTGAATTTCAAATTGTTTTTCGCTCTTTAAGGCATTTGCATTTTTGTAGATTCTTGTATCTTTGTCAAGTAATGGAACAGGAGATGGATGTGTTTTATCTTAGTCAGGCGTTTATTTGGCTCTGTCAAGATGCTTGTCATGGGACCCATTCCACAAAGTGATTGTAGCACTACGACGCTGCTGAGTCTGTGGAACGGTATGGGAGTTATGATTGCCTTAGCTCTACAATTGCTTGGTGGAACAGACCCAGGAGATTCTCAGAAATAGTTCCGGAGTCCACAGCATATAATATGGTTCAGTTGACTTACAAGGATTTTGCTACTGTGGCATTACATGAGTGATATCTTCCATTGTGTTATACAGTTGAGATCACCTTTTTTGAGAAGAAGTCCTTTTTGGGGTACATATAAGCATTAAAATGTCCATTTTAAAATCCTACGACAGTTGTAACAATATTTTAAAAAAATATTTACAAAACAAAAAACTCGTTTTTGTCTAGTGAGACCCTACAGGACCCCTCAGTGCCCCTTACAGCCAAGAGCAGATAACTCTCGCCGTCTACCACGTACCCTGCTTTTCATGCTGTCATTCATCCTGAAAGACATGCATGGTGTTCATTGAATCTGTGAATTCTATACCTATCAGATGAGTGAAAAAGAGTCAAATACAGTATGTATGGTTCCTTTCTTTACGCACTGGCGTCAGATGGAATTCATATATTGATATTTTCATTCATAATTTGTTGTAACTTTTCCGACGGTTTCTCCATTTTCCAGCCATGTGGCAGGCAAAATAGAGGGCCGCTCAGTCTTTGTTCCCTTCTTACATGTTTCTGTAAACGAGTAGGGAGTTTCTATATTGTGCTTGCATATTATGTAGTAGGCTTGCCTTAATTCCCACTATTATAGTGAATTGGTGGTAAGTCATGGTTGGGTAATTTTGTTGGCATGTTCGTTTCGTATCACTCTCTGTTTACTCATTCCTATATATAAGCAGGTTTCAGCTTTGCCTTTTTTCTGCTTTACATTATGTGTTTAGTATTTAATTGGCTTTAGCTTGTAGCATTTTAATATATATTGCCCATGCGTTTTATTCATTGCTATCTACTTGTGTATATAAGTAAAAAAGCACGGTCCTGTTGGTTTGCCTCAGGTGTCTAGACAAGGAGGCTCACGTTGGCCAAAGATGTGTGTGTGGGGTAGGGGGGTGGGGTGTGTGTGTTGGTATAATTTGGTGACAAGGGCCTCCCTAAAAAAAAATATGAAGAAATGTTGATCTACTTCGTCTTCCTCATCAGTTGATGTGGGGGCGAAGCAAGCAAAGGTGACAGATGCTTCTCCAGTTCCCACACCTCCCATTCTTTCCACTTCGCAGGCACAACCCCAAACACAATCTGCTCCCAAAGCACCATTAACCTTGGAAATCCTGACGCCTTCGCTCTCGATTCAAACGGATGCCTCCCTCACAGGATGGGGCAGGACTCTGGGCGATGGGGGTAGACAATGTTCATGCAGATGCACTCTCACGACGTATACTAGCCCCCAACGAGTGGATGCTCGATTGGGAGATATTCGGGATTATCTCCCATTTGTTTGCCTCTGGGGTGACGAACCAGATTCTGGGGTGTTTTGCTCTCGGATACCGAATCCGAGGGACATCGCCTCCGATGCCTTTCAGCTCGATTGGACAGACAGGGTGTTATGGACATTTCCGACGATTCCCCTGATTTCCAAGGTTCTCTCACAGTTTGCCACCCAACCAGCTTGACTACTTGTGCTCCTTGCATCTCTTTGGTCGGCCCAAAGCTGGTTTCCTGTAATCATCAGGTTTCTGGCTCAGCCTCCTGTACTATTACCCTTTCGACCTGATCTACTTTCCCAGAACAGAGGGCCCCACCCAAATCCCAGGATTTAATGGATGACTTGGCCACTGTCCGGAATCGCCACCAAGCTTTGCGGAGGGATATGACAAACGTTCAGTATGAGGATAGATATCTGTTTTGCGCGCTGGTGTGTCTGCAGAGGGATCCTTGGTCCCTTTTCTTTTGATTTAGTGGAAGTTTTAGAGTTTTTACAATCTCGTTTAGAGGCAGGTCTTGCCAAGTCTACTATCCGAGGCTACCTAAGAACATTAAAGAATCCCCCACCCTTGAGACATTCAAAACCAACCTAAAAACCTTTCTCTTTAGAAAGTTCTATCCCCATGAACTATCTCCTCCCGTGAACTTCTCATCTGTGACTATTGTAGCGCCTTGAGCATGCACCTCTGTGGATGGAACCCAGCGCAATATAAATAGACATTATTATTATTATTATTACTCCACAGCTATCTCTGCATTTGACATGCCTACCAATGGGGTGATCTCAGGACAACACCCTCTGCTGCAGCTCCTTTTAGAAGGATTGGACAGAATCCGGCAGATTAGTCCCCCGTGGGACTTGTCAATCGTTCTTTATTGGATGTCAGGTCCTCTTTTTTCGATCTATCAGATCTCTCTCTCCAGCTGTTAAGTTGGAAACCAGTCTTTCTTGTGGCGGTGACGTCTGGCAGACGGGTCGGTGACATTCTTGCAATGTCCGCCGATTCTGAGCTGACCGTCTTCCATAAGGACAGGGTCAGCATTCGGACGCCAGACTCTTATCGTCCTAAGATTGCTGGCTCCTTTTACGTAATGGCACCTATTGAGCTCCCAGCTTTCACGCAGCCTCCATCGTCTGGTACCCCTCTTCGACGTGCTCATGGCTTAGATGTCTGTAAGACTCTCAAGGCTAATATCAAATGAACAGCTTCGATCCATAAGGATAAACAGTTGTACTGCTGTTATGGCGGTGGTAAGACTGGTCTTCCGGCCAACAAGCAGACCTTATCTAGGTGACTTGTCTCTGCCATTTGTATGGGCTACATTCATAAAAGTTTAACTCCACCTGAATGTTTGAAAGCTTATTCGATTAGGACAGTGGCCACGTCAACGGCGTATGCCCTGGCTCTGCCCATTGTGGAGATCTGCTCAGCGGCTATCTGAGTATGAGTACGTTCATCCACATTAGGCCTAAAAAAAAAAAGCTTGTGGTTCCGATTTCCCGACCGACCCTAAATATTCCTGCCGAGCCTAACAATTTTACTCACCACATAATAAATTAAATTTATTGTATGACACATGAGTAATGTAAAAATATTTTGCAAAAAAACCCAAAAAACCTACCTACCTACCCTAGTTCTGAAATGTAGGAAATCGGAACCACAACATTTTTTTTTTTTTTGCCTTATCATCTGGACAAACATTCATGTGAGCGTGCTGGGTTTGGCCAGTCAGTTCTCCACAGTGGGCCGTAACTCTAGCCAAGTGCAGGGATTGGGAAAGGCAGGGGCCATGGGCCATTTTGCCCAATAGAATAGAAAATGGCCTATTAAAATGTTGAAGTTTACTATTGATACAAGGGCAGTGGCCCATTCTAAGTTAAGAAAAGGGCTAATAATCCTGAAAATTGTCAAACTTTTCTATCCCAATCCCTGCAAGTGAATTTTTGAAATTATGTAGTTTGCACTTACTGGTGTTGGTTTTTATCATCCCTCCAATCTTATCGGTGGTGGTAATTTACCATATTTTTAACTAATCCTGCACTACTTACTTCCTGCACTTATTGCTTACGGCTCGAAAAGCGTGGCTTGCCAGACGATGTCAAAAAGACGTAGAACTGCAATCACTTCCTGGTCTCGGCTGCTTACTCGTCTGCGCATGCGTCACCGGAAGGTGACGTCAGCCACCTCAGATTATTGCTTTTCGCACGCCTCGTTAGACGTGTTGTTTGCCAGCTCAACTTGTATCCTACGGGATTATATTTTTGAAGCATTAATAAAGACTGACTTTGTGTGTATTTTGTTTTGTACCTCTCTGAGAAGTGTAGGTATTATCTTTCACTTTCTTTTTGTCATTCAGTAGTTCTGTGTAGTGATGTCGCTTACGTTTATACACGGTCCGTCATCACACTTTCACTTCGCCATTAAAACACTTTGCCGTATTTGATACGTGCCGTTGTGTTTCATTTGGTACAGGCTTATATACTATACCATATAATAGTGGTATATTTATTGTGCCTGTATTATGGTCTCGTGAAACTTTCAGTTATTTTGAGACTTTTGTTCTCAACTTTGCTGTTATATTCATTACTTTTGTATGTGCGTTTACTGGGTTTTCTGCTTTATTGCAGATCTATGTACAGCGCCAGTTGTATACATTGTCGGGTGGGAAGTCTCGTAAAGACCCTCATCCCGATGTTTGAAATGTACTACTCAATGTACCCTGGCCATAAATGTGCCAGCTGCGCTTGTGCTATCACCCAAGAGTTTCTCCGTTTATCTACAGGTTGTTAAGAAGCTTCTGGGACAACAGAGACGGAAGAGTATGTCTACTACTGACACCCGATCTTGACGACCACTACGCCTCACGCCAAGTGTTGCGGCGTCAACTGTGTCAACGAAAGCGCCTGTCACCAGCATTCAGATTATGTCTTACGCCGCTTATGTCGCTGGGTGTTACAGCGTTTGCCGCCGCCGGCGCTTACGCCTCGGTGCTTGCAGCCGCCGGGCGCTTGGATTGACGGCGCCTGGCGCCGGCGCTGGCACTCCTCACCTCCTCCACTGTTGCCGATGTCATCTCCACAACGACCGATGGGCCAGCAGTTTGCGCCATTATCAGACACCCCAGCCAGTGTTCCCAGGGCAGGCGCTTTATGCGTACTAACCACAAACGGGTTTCCAATGCCTCAGGCGCCTATGATGCAAACGCCATACCGGCCACCAGCAGTTTGATGTATCCACGCCAGCACTCTCTTGACTTTACTATCAGGTCAAGCCGTACATCAGTGCCTATGCCGCTTATGCCACCAGCTACATCGGCGCCTTCTCCCTCCTACGGCGCCTCCAGCCGCCTTTGCA